CACTCATAATTCCTTAATTCGGATTATTATCATATTCTATTTCATATGTATCCTGTAATTCAATACATTTAAAAAAAAATAACAATTAATTTATTTGTGTAATAATGTGTTGTAGATTTAAAAGTGTCTTGCCTTAAACAGACTTCAAATATTTTATTTGAACAGAGTACACCAATTTTTCTTCCCCCACGCATGTTATCCCACCCAGTATGTGTTGAATATTGAGTTTGTCGTTGGATTGCAGGAGTCATACATAAAAGGAGACGAAAAGTGAGACACAGATAACAGGCCACTTGGTTCTTTTAAGTCACAAGATGCAGAAGTAGATGGCAGCAGAGGCAGGTAATAAGACGACAAATGCCCAGAGACACAAATCTACCACTCGAATGTTTTTTTCAATTTAAAATCAGAACTGCATTACCTTACGGGCAACCTCAATGGACAAAGAGCTACCTGAGGCCACCTGGATCCTACTCCAAAGAGTTAGCCAAGACAATTTCCCTCAAATCACCTGCTATCTTAATCTGACAGCCAGACTCGATTACATGCCGTAAAAATTGCTTTTCTTGCCACCAGCAGTCGTTGTAAAATTATCTTAATTGTGTCATGATTATGCCTCAGAGCTCTGGTGAGAGCTTTACGTTGCTCCTTTCAAACACACAGGAGAGCTACATGAGTGGTAGAGGTGCACATATATCAGCATTCAAGAAGAGGGAGGACGAGAGGGAAACAAAATCACCTCAAACCGTTTCTGTCTGTTCACGTATTTCAGAAACAGGCACTGATGGAAGCCTCGCAAGAGACATTTGCAAAACCCTTGAAAGGACCGATATAAAAACGTCAAATAAAAAATGAAGGTACAGTTGGAAAAAAATCCTGCATAGCTATTGTTCTTTCAAACTAAGAATTGTGTGCAGTGACATGGTTCAAAGGTGTTATATACACATATAAGGTGTGAAGTAGAACAATGCATAATTTTTATACTTAAATTAACAAATCAGATGCCGAGCTAAAAAAAATTATGGATGTTTAATCAACTCAACATTTATCCAAAACATTTTCTACTTTCAGTTTTAAAGTCATTCATGAAGAAAAAAAGACAAATTCACTGGCTAAACAAAAGGACTCAATATTTTAAAGCTTATGCTCGCATTAAAAACTATCAGCGCCAATCAACATCCATGACTTCCCAAGGTATATCTATTGGAGGGCATAAAATGAAAGGCACAGTGTGTCAATTCCACCGCCAGGGCTCTCAATCAATACAAGAACATAAGATGATGTTGAGGCTACTCCACCTCCACCCCAGATGAAAACGAACTCTGCGTTGACCGTAGTCAAGACTAACGGGCGAAACAGACCTGAGAAAGACAATATGTTTACCGACGATTGTATAGTTTATATTGTGTTTTTTATCAAAGCAGCACATAAAGCATCAGCACAGCAGCTTTAAGTAGCAATTCGCACTTCCTTCTGTAGCGGCCTCTGATGTAACATCTGGTGTTTCTGCAGCAACGATAAACATGTCTTGTCAGTCATGGCGGTCACCACGACAAGACACGTTCCATTACAACTATTAAATTACAGAAATATCTGGCTTAGAAAGCTGTTAGAAATATTACAGGTAATGTCTGTTTATTACAATATTTCCATTGAAATATCTAAACTTATAAAATAATGACTAAACCTGTGATATATACTTTTTCTGTTGAGCACTTACATTACCTAAAACAGTTTTCAAAGCCAGATAAATCCTTGATGATGCTTTTGAATCCTGGCTCTTCTGCCATGGCCTTGACCTGCCCTCAGCCTTGCTCGATCTTCGTCTCTGGGCCTCTACCCCTGACCATCGATGCAATATGGGTCATTGCAAAAATCATTTGACACATGCTTCTTTTCTATTCTTAAGGTGGCAGTGTGACTTTTTTGTTGTTGTGTTTTTCTGTTTCTGTCTGCATTTCTGTATTGTAAAAATCAAAAATGTTTAAGAATAAAATGTTTTTTAATTAAAACAAACTAGATCACAAACAACAAGCAGACCACGGGCTGAAACACTGAAGTTTAATGAAGCAAGTGACTGACCAACACTACTGTACATGCAATACTAGAGCCATTTAAAATGATTTTATCGATTTGATTTCTGTATTTTACTTGTGACTTTAGAAACATTTTTGTGTTGTATTTCTGTGTTTTAAGCCTCAATGTAAAGCAAATAGATCTTACCTGTTGTGAAATGTGTTTTATAAATAAAATGCTGTTGCCATTATTCAAAGCCCATTTAGTTATGTTTTGTGGCAAAACACATCCAGTGTCCAGGTAAACAACACAGACAATGCACAGGTATGACCTTAATAACATTAAACAATAGCAGGTTGGGTAAGGGTGCTAATGTTACCATGGTGACAGACACACGAGAAAAGACGTATCTGACTTACATTATTTTAAATTGAAGCCCGGACTCCTTTCTGTAGAGGCGATTATCCATGTTACAAATTGTTGCGGAAGTCGTTCGTGTTGTTGGAAAAACGTCTCAACTCCACCAGAGCCGCCAAAGCTAAAGTTAGCTAACAAGCTAGCACAACGCGCGGTAGCTAACCATTAGTTTGTAAACGTTTTATTCTGTGTCCAAAGTCTTTAAATTCTTCTCCAAAGTTACAGTTCAAGCAAATATGACGATAAACAAATGAACACGTGTTACCTTTTGAGAGTAACTGCATGAAACAGTTACCTATACTCTTAATTGAAGTGCGCCAACTTGACCTACGTCCTACTCTTTGCTGGGGGTGTTACAGATCATTTGGTACTCCTTCTTTTTAAAGGTTTAGGAACGTGGTTGGCGCATTTCACCTGTTATGACGAGAAATGCATCCCTGCCGAGAAGTGCATGTCCCACGCGGACGTGTTTTGAAACGGTATTAATTGTATTTCTGGGAGCAGATCTTTAAACACAAATCATCTGATGTTTATACTAAATCAGTGATACGTGTCCTTATTGTTCTGTAGACTCGGTAGTTTGCATTTTCATTAGTCTGCGACCTGCAAACAGTGTTTGATTTTAAAGTGGATTTGTTATAACAAATACAACAGCAAAATACAAATTACAGAAGACCAAGTTAAGTTAAACAGAGTAAGGGAGGGGATTGTACATTAAAATACTATATATATATATATATATATATATATATATATATATATATATATATAATTCAACTATTATAAATGAAATCAAATGAAATCAGACAAGAACCTGGAGCAAGAAAAAAAACATACAAAAGATGAGGGCCAGAATAAAATGTGGACGAGTCAATCCTGCTGGATTTCATTTACATACATACATAGGAAAAAATATTTGAAATAATTTATGAACCAGTCATAGGAGGGTTTGCTGTTTCTCCACTTACTACAGTTAATATGACATTTTCTCATAAGTCAGATAACATTTATCATGTCAGCAATAGAAGGGTTTAGATTATCCATATAACAGAGACTGCTATAAGTATCAAAAGATGAAATAGCATTAATTTTAAGCAATATAAGAACTTTTTATGTTGACCGAAAATCTTTGAGACACAGGACACAATACAAACAAGTACTGTAAGGTCTCTTCAGATTCACCTCAGAAGGCACAAGGGTTATCTTCAAGTTTGATTCAAAAGTGTCTGAAGAGGAAATTAAAGGTGGATGCAATATATGGCAGCATAGTATTTTAATGGTGGACGAAAAATAGTGCAGTTTATTAAACTGTCTGCCATATTTTGAATTGTCCTGTGAGATGCATGAAATTCTCAACAGAGATGCAGTTCTAGGCATTACACCACCATCAAAATGGTTATAGACTAGATTATTTGTTACCAATATTACCACCCTTAGGCGCCTAAGGCATTCACAAAATACCTCAATACTCATGACACAATTCCCATAAAAATGTTATGTAGTTGTTTATAGCAGGCATTAGGCTATATCATAAAAATATAAGGTCACCTCCATAAATCCATATTACACCCCTCCTTTTGAATTCGGGTGAACCAACGAGGTCTTTATAAATTCCCATCTCAGGTAAAAAATAAATAAATAAATGCTATTAAATTTGAGTAGATTCATGTTCCACTTTCAAATTGTCTCCTTGGCTTCCTCGTTTTTTTTCTCCCCATAATTCCAACATTTTATCTCAAGAATTGGTGTTGGTGGCGCTGGATGGCCTAGTGGTTATGTTGTGCGTCCCATGTACGGATGCCATAGCATTCATTACAGAGGCTGCAGGTTCAAATCGCACCTCCGCCCTCTGCATTGTGTCATCCCCCACTCTTTCCTCCAAGCATTTCCTGTCTCTCTTCAGCTGCCCTATCCATTAAAGGCAAAATGGCCAAAAAGGAGACTAGGCATTGGTCAAAAATGTATTTTAAAAAAAGTAGGTTGATACTTCTCTTGTGGTTCAAGATAAAGACCCTTTTGGGCAGCACTTTTACAATGCAGTAGTTTCACTTTACGCAAAGATGTGTGAGTGATAACTATTACCATACTTTACAATCAATAGGTTGAATCAAAGTGTTGTGCTTTCTTTCACTAAAAGCCTTAACCTTCTCTAGCTGTTTAAAATGTAGAAAACACTACAATCAGCCAAAAGTAAAACACTTTTCACTCAATGTCTCACCTTCTTCACTGTTCTTTATGAAATTAAAAGCAATCACAGACTCATTAAGATACATTATAAACACAGTAAATTAGCTATTTTAATCATATCACTTATTACAATAAATTATCCATGGACATGGAATATTATACCCTAACCTTATATTAATATAACTATTAACTATCATAATGACCTCTCCTCTAGCACCACACTGTGGCCAAGAAGTATAAAGACTGTAATACAAACTATTTCAACAGTATCAAACTCCAGCTACTATTAAGCCAAATACTTAATATACTTTAGATTAATTAAGATAACATCATAAATAGGTGAATACATTATTTACAAAAGACTCAGATACACAGCAAAAGAGATTTTCAATTTTTATTGACTTTTTGGACAATTTCTTTTCCAGTGTCATCCATATCCGTTCACTTCAATGGTATTTGCATAATCTTTCATTCAATGCTAGGAAGATATAAACCAAGGTAGACTGATGCTAGATGTTGAAAAGCAGCTAGCAAGCTAAATCTGCACTCCTCTGGCAAATTAAACTAATTACAATAACTAGGGGGCCATTAATGTTCCCAGAGCTTTTAAAGGAACATTTAATGTACCCTCCAGCTGTCCATTTAAAATGCACCTAGACATCATCCCTATCTGGTTTGTATCTTTCTAGTTGTAAGGCTGATAAAAAGGGCCATTGCTATGTAACAGAACAATCTGCATAGCAACTGGAAGACAAAGGGACTGGACACTGACCCGATACAGAGGATGAGAAACAGGACATCACTAGACAGATAGTTGGCACAAGATGGTCTGCTGTTTTGCTCATAAACGCACAGTCATTATTTTTTGTAGAGTGATTTTACTTTTGAATGTCAAAAGAGTTCATTCGATAGTTAGTGTGAGGTTTGATACGTTGGAGCTCTCGGCCTAGTGTTGTAAGACGTTTAGTTCTGGCATGATCTCCAAGCATCTGGCAGTTTGAATGTGTTGCCATTCTGCAGTGGCTGAAACCGCTCCCCCCCCCTTAATTAAGTATACCATTTCATAAGGCTACAAGGTACGTGCCACTACATGACCATATCCACAAAAGCACAGCTAAGCAAATGGAAAGATGTGACAGAGGACAACCACTACAGAGAGCCTGAGGGCTAAAGACTGACAAATTTCACTCAGCTACATGAGTAAAAGCAGGAAGGGGGTGGGTTACTGAAACAGCTGGCCCCTCGATGGTCAGGCATCATGTCTGGACATGTCACCAGCAGTAATTAAATCCCTTTCCCCCCACCCTGCGAAGGCAACTAAGATAAGGGCAGCTCGAAAAAAACAGATGTCTGGCCACCTTTAAATTTGGTATAACAGTTCAAACCACAATGAAATGTCAGGTCTAATCAACACAAATGTCAGTCTTGTACAGACTGGAGACTTAACCGCAACATCTGTCACATTTTCTTTTCTTTTTTTTTTAAGCGTAGGACAGTTTCTTTAATGCAGATACAAAGCTCACAAGTCAATTACAGTATCTGAAAGCACTTTTAGACTGATGACTCTGCAGGCGCAGACCGGGTTAAGTACACAGAGAAGGATGACGTTCTCAGAACTGAAGACTTTAGGGTCAGCGGTCAGTCCAGGTCAGGAGAAGGAACAATGAAGGGGAAGATTGTGTCCGGTTCACTTCAGGCCCATCTGTAGCAGCACGGCTTAGAAGCGCTTGGGTCCCCAGGGAGAGGACTTGGTTGCCACTGGGGCTCCAAAGCTGGGGAAATCTTCTGAGCTGCTCATATCAGGGGCCTAAAGTGGAAGAAAAGGAGATTAAGAAAGGAAGGTGCGACCAATTCTCGTTTCAAACAGTCTAAGGCTTGTGGGTAAAAACTCACCTTCTCATTGCCAGTGGCCCAGGGAGCCTCCCTCACCACAAAGCCTTTGGATGGTCCACGTTGTTCATCCATGGAGGAAGCACTACCCCCATGAGGTCTCATGTAGGCCATCTTTGCCTCATTCTCCACAACATCTGCCAACTGGGAATATAGGGAAATGGTTAACGTCAAATGCATTTTAACACCTGCAAATGCAAACAATTAACATTTTTAGAGCGCAGGAAGCTTACAAATTCCTCTTCCAGGTTAAGCAGGTGATCGATGGCTTCATCCACAAGCTCAGGGCGACCTGTGACTGTCACAATGTTCATGTCTGCAGCCCCGCTCTGGGGGAACCTGAGATCAACCTAAAAGAGATAGATACCAAGCCATGTCAAATACTGGATACTCAAAGTGACAAGAAAAACTAAGAAGGGGACAAATACAACACAAGTTTTTTTCCCCATTAAAAGCATGCATGTTAACCGCTCAGGTATCCCTGCTAAGGCAATTATCTTGACCTGTCATACAGTGCAGGGTTACCATGGATCTAACCCTGAATTTTATTTTGAACACCTACAGAAATTAAGAAAAAGCCTGTTGCAAAGTAAATTCAAGTCTGGCTGTAACAACTAGACATTACATGGGATTATAATCCCCATCCATTGAACCAGCGCTAGTTGGGAGTCATCTATAGCCCATGATGAACCAGTCTGAACCAAAAATGTGCAACAGAAAACTCCAAATAAACTTGAGTTGATGTGAATTACATCATACATTCTGAAAGTGCATGAGAGATGAATGGCACTGATCTGCATTAGGCTTTTTTTTTTTTTTTTTTTTTTTTTTTTTTTTTTAAGATAGAGAAACTGAAGACGTAGGACTAATAAATCTGCATTAGCCTAAAGCTGTTGAAATGTGCTGTTGGTCCTGGTTGTTCTTCATGGCCAATCGATGTGATTATTTTCAGATTCTAACTTTGGTCGAGCGCATGGACCCCAGTAAACAGTTAGTTGAAACTTAATTGTACTGAAAACTGACATTCCAAACTACTTATTTGGTAATTCCTTGTATGTGCAAAATTAAAGAGGATCTTTTTAAGTTGTACATAAGAGCTGTAAGGGGTGAGAGGTACACTGTTGTGAAGCAGGCTTTCTCTGGTGTGTCTTACTCTAGTTTATATCCCATCCTGTCCTGTAGCCTCACCTTAAACTCATCCATGATCTTGCGGATGCCCTTGCCGCGGGCTCCTATGATGCGGGCATGGACCCTGCTGTCCAGGGTGATGTCCTCAGAGATCATCTCTTCAAGCTCATCAACAATAGCCTGGATAGCATCTCGTGCTGCTATGGCTTTGTGCTCATACCCTGTAATAGTTATCTGATCCTGTGGACAAACAGCAGAAACATTTATCTCATTTATTCTTTAACAAAAATATATTCTGCTATAGCTTCTATGACAATAGCTAGCTCAATTATGGTTATCACAAGGGGACACTAGTTACCGGTACATTAAAGATATTTAGCACCACCTGCTGTGCTGATGGTGAACATACACTTATTACCATTATTCTTTGAATATAATAAGTTCTGCAAAAGCACCATACCTGGTTTTCATCATTCTTCTCTGGGAACTGGATGTTAACATCATGCTCAGTGCGGATGTTTGTAATAATGGCCCCTTTGCGGCCGATGATTTTGGGGTGATACTTGGGATCCACAGTGATGGTCAGCTTGAAGCTCCTTAGTGCCTGCAGTGGGGGCGATGTAAACGATTCTCTGGATTAGAAATTGAGTGCTTTTGACACTTGAACTAATTCCTACTCCTGCTACAATTGCTGTGAAAAGTTAATAATTAAATTGTCTTCTCCTCCAAGGTTATAGTGTGTGTGATGGCCTTACAGGTCAACTTAAAGATAGCTTAACTGCCTCAGGATTGTATGTGAATCATAAACACTGCTTCAACAACTAACAAAAATACTTCCCTCCCCTTTCCCTCAGTTGATGGAGTTGATGGATACATTCAAGACTGCAAATAATACTAACCCGATCTTCCTGATCGGCCTGCAATTCTTTGACACGCTCCAAGAGGCCCTCTTTGGCGCGGTCAAGGTGGTTGGCCAAGCCGGTGATGGCGATTTTATCAGACTGCTGGTCAGGAGCAGGCACTTGAATATTAACCTGGAGGAAAACATGATATCATCATATAGTTAGCAGCAGAATCGAAAAGCTTGTGTACCCCTTTGCCAACACAGAGTGTGTATGACACATACCTCAAATTCATCCATCATCTTGCGAATTCCACTTCCTTTCTGTCCAATGATGTAGCGATGAAGCTCAAAAGGCACTTCTACCTCAATAGTCACAGGAACCAAGGCCTGAGGAAAGAAGACAGATGAGGATCAAGACGATAGTTTGGGCCATTTATATTATGCTCTGTTACAATACATTCATTTTAGCCAATGTCACTTTCCAAAAAGGACCTCAGACGATAACAAACAGCCATGTGAATACAAAAACACTAACCTTCAAAGACTCAACAGCAGCTTCACAACGCTCTTTGCGTCCAGAAATCACGATAACGTCACACTTTTTGGGTGCATTTGGATCAACAGGTTCCTTCACTTCACCGTTAGCTTCTCCATTCTCCTGAACGGGGGCCTCTGCAGGAGGTGCTGACTCCTGTTTACCTTGTGGATCCTCACGCTCTGGGAACTTAATCTGTACACTGTGATCTCTGGTGATCTGCTGGATCCTTGAGCCTTTGGGACCCATGATAGAGCGGTGGAACTTCTGAGCAATCACACACTCAATCGTCACTTGAGCATCCTGGAAATGATAACGTTCAAATGGGAGAAAAAAAAAAAAAAGGGAAATTGGTTAAATTTGAAGCTGATGTCCAGAAAAAACTAAAAAATAATTAGAAATCTACTTCACAGAGCAGAAACCTGCATCTACTTACCAAGTCCTCAACAATCTCCTGCATGCGCTTTTTGGCTGCTTCCACACATTCTTTGGCTCCTTTGAGGGTGACCTTTTCACTCTGAGAACCTGTGCGAGGGAAGCTCACCATCACACCTCCATACTCATCAGCAAGGTCCCGGAGGACTTGGCCACGTCGAGACACAAAGTAACGATGGTGCTTTGGATCAACAGTCATAGTGTCCTCTACCACGTTGTCCTGTAAGCAGAGGGTAAATATGTTGAATACTCGGACAGTGAATGAGGCAAATGTCCAATCCATCTTATTCTGTCATGTTTATAAAACTAATATCAAGGGGCTTACCAAGCTCTTAATGAGTTCCTCCAGCTCCTTCTGGGCCTCCCGCACTGCTTCCTCAGTACCAATCACAGTGATGAGTTCCTGGTCTTTGTCCTCGGCGGTGGGGAAGATGATCCTGGCCCCGGTGCTATCACGAACCTTACGGATGTTTCCACCACCTTTCCCAATGAGGAACTTGTGGTATTCTGGCTTTGCACGCAGCTCGGCAGTGTGACTCTTAGTTTGCTGTAGAAAAGGCATTTCAGAAATATGGTCATTGTATAACCAGTCAACCTTATTAAGAATGGTAAGCACAGAAGATGGTCTATAATTTCAAAGACACGGAAAAGTTTTAATGGGCTTAACATCATTTAATCTTGAGGGAAGCGAAACAAATTTCCCCTATGTACAAGACAGCAGCTATGCAAAAAGCGTGCAGTTTACATTCTGACAGTCGAAAGAAGTTCTCAGCATGTGGTTATGTACAACCACTGAGCTACAGAAGCAGCTCTTTTCATTTTTTGCCCTTCCTCTATGTCCCTGTCAAATGGCTGCCAGTTTAGCGAGGTCAACAGAAGTTCATTTTTATCATCATTAGTGACTTTTACACAAACCTTCTCCTCTGCCAAGGCGAGCAGCTGCTGCTTGGCTTTCTCCACCTCCTCTACGGGGCCTCGGATGGTGACCTTATCAATCCCTGAGCCCTCAGTGGGGAAGTGGATGTGCACGCCGCCACACTCCTCCATGATCGAGCGCACAAAACGGCCCTTTGTCCCAATCAGGGAGTTGTGCAGCTTAGAGGGGATGGAAACCTCCAACTCAGAGATGTTTGCCTGTGTACAAAGCGATATTAACTCAGCATATGTACAAGATTTAGATCCATCTGCCAAACTTTGGAGAAAATAGTACACATGAATGCAGGCTCTTACCAGCTCCTTCTGAATGGCCAAGATGCGATTTCTTGCAGCCTCGCAGTTTGCCTTCTTTCCAATGATGACAATCATCTCAGAGTTGCTGTTCTCAGCAGGCAGGTCAATTTTTGTGTTAGTTTCCTCACGAATCTAGAAAAAATAAAAATCGGTCAAATGGATGTCTAACGGCCCGAAGACATAACTTGTTAATTTACCCTAATAAACCTTACCTTCTTGATATTTGATCCTCCTTTTCCAATTATGTTTCTGTGGAACTGCTTGAAGATGGGCACAGAGACAGAAAAGCTGTTTTCCGCCTGACAAAAGAGAATCAGGGAAAGTTAACACTCAAAAGTAGGTAAGGATGCCAAATCAGTATTTTAGTATTATCAGATAAGTTTATCTGGTTTAGACTCAGGATTGTTAACTCTGCCATTCTCAGGTCAAAACATAGCACCTCATCAACATAACACATGATGTAACTTATGACTGTAACTTAGATGATGCGCACGCACCACACATTCACACTCTGCACATTGACACTTTACACTGTTCATTTTAATATCCTTTACATTTCTCTTTTAAATTATATATTTCTACATTTTACTGTACACATGTTCTTATATAATATTTGAGTGTTTTTATTGCATGGCCTTGCAGAACAGTCATTACATTTGACTGCACATATGTAAGAGCATGTGACAAATACAAATCTTGACTTTTGCTTATTAAAATCATTTGCCTATGCATATTGCTACATCAGAAAACACACAAATTTAGATGCAAAATATTTACCATTTCAGCCACTAGCTTCTGCATGAACTTCGCACATTTTTCCACCTCAGTTCGTGGGCCTCTAAACTGAACGATGTCACTTTTCTGTGCCGGATCAGGGAAGTTGATAATGACCTGGAAAGTAATGATAAGGGTTGATAGATTAAATTTAGTACAGACAAACCATCACCAATAATATACCAGCAGCACAGACAGTTTCCAACTGACCTCTGGGAATTTGTCGCGCACTTCTTTTATCTTCTCCCCTTTTTGGCCAATGATGGCTCTGTGAAAACGCTGTTCAATGATCAGGTCCTTTGTACGCTCATTCTCCTGCAAGAAAAAATAGAAAGTATAATTAACAATGGCACACTCAGTTCCCCATGCCAGCATCTCGTCTGTAAAACTCCAGCGAGAACTTACCATGCGTGACGCCAGCTCGAGCAGCTCCTTCTTGGCTTCCTGCACACCCTGGGGATCCCCCTCAATACGGATCAGGTTGCTCTTCTCGTTGTCAGGAGGGATACGGACAGTCACCTTGTGCAGCTCTTTGATGCGGTTAACTATAAATAAAAAAATCAATACATACTTTTATTGTAACAGTAATCTTGTGCCTTCAAGGAACTGAAATCAGTCAAGAACTAGGACTGTGATTATAACAGAGGGCAATTATCATGAAATGTATGATTCAGATTATGTTGCATGATGAACTTCAATAATAAGTTTTTAATGTTAACACGATACTTACTGTTAACACCTCCTTTTCCAATCAGATGTCTGTGGAATTTGGGATCAACGCTGATCTCAGTGTAGTCCATACGGCTTACCTTTGAGGAGAAAGAACACAAAACATGAATATCATTGGAAAATGGAGTGCATTGTGTTCTTAAAAGTCATTTATCAAAACCAAATCATCATCTTATATTAAACCTCAAGCCTGATTTCAACTTCTGCAGTAGCTCTTCAAGGAGTCTGAACTGTAGCCTTCATTGTTGAAAGCATTCTTCTTAATGAACTTTAAACAAAAGGCAACTGACAAAGGAAGTAGGAAGAAGTAAAAATGTATATATCCCTACCCCTGCTACATTTCTTCTATTAGTTTATAAGTTTATAAATCATTCCAACAAATGTTCACAATTATACACACATGTATCCAAGGTTAGTTTGCCCCATAAAACAAATTAAAATCCCAGTGTATTTACAATCCTAATATCCACCCAGTATTACAAAATATAAAGGAATACCCTTAAAACAACTTTTCCCATATAGCTCTCCAAAATATTTTTTTGTATAGTTTTTTTAAATTTAATAATATTTGTGCTTTGTTTCAGCTCCTCACCCCAGCTCATTCCACAACTCCACACTGTACCCTGAAAAGCCCTGTACCCTGTTGGAGCAGAGGTCAAGTTAACCGAATATTTTCCGTCATTGACGGAATTTTTTTTAACAATGACGGAAAAATCTGAAGGCTGTCTGTCATTTTGACAAATTACAATTACCGGGTGTCCAGCGCTCCTTTCTAATTCTCACACAGCACTGTCATTAACCACATGTAAAGCACCTGCAGTAGACCTCCCAGTCCACTTGGTGGCGAGTGTGCATAATTAATTAGTTATTGTTTTGTCCTGTAGGCTATCTGACCTAATGCGCATGGCATGGTTGTCTAAGCTTGTAATAGCTTAACCATGCTATATATCTGGTGTGCTTCAGCACGGTACAGTTCAGTTTTTTTTTTTTTTTTTTTAAGATTTTTTTTGGGGCTTTTTGTGCCTTTAATGGAGCGATAGGACAGTGGATAGAGCTGGAAATCAGGGAGAGAGAGAGTGGGGAATGACATGTGGGAAAGGAGCCACAGGCCGGATCCGAACCTGAGCCGCCCACTTGGAGGACTACAGCCTCCACACATGGCGCACTAACCACTGCGCCACCAGCGCCCCGGTACAGTTCAGTTTTATGGCTGTATCTGACTAAAAATGACTCAAAATAAGACTCAGTCAGTAAAGTAGCATGCTTGAGCTCGCCTGTCTTGTACACTAAGCACGCCTCATAATTACGTAAAGCCATGCATGTGTTATATTACGACGTTATAACAAGAAATTAATGTGCTAAGGCCCGGTTAGTCCTGGAGCAGCGTGAGTGCAGGCCGGCAGTGGAATGTGGAGGGTGGACAATCGTGCATAAGCACGGTATGGGACAACTTTGCTAGTGTGAGTGCGCCCTAAAATTGATCTGCAATTTAATTGTAACGTGTGATCGACTTGTTTCTATAATCAAGTGCTAAACTAAATAGTTAATAAATAAGTAGGCAATGTCTTAATGTCATAAAAAATATATGAAATGGAAATGAGGGATCATTATAGATCATGACAGAAATTTTACGACCCTGTCTGTCAAAATGACAGGCAACAAGAAAGTCTAGCGCAACCTCTGTGTTGGAGTTGATGATTGCTGAATAACTTTCATTGAAATGTAAAAGTATGCAGAAACCATGCAAACATAATACACTGAGATAAGCAAACAGTAGAGTTTAGTTCAGAACAGCAAATAACAAATGAGCCTTTAAACACAGTGTGCTTGCAGTTTCAATGCATAGCTATGAGGCAGATAGCTATGCACAGGCAGACAATCACAGTTGTTGTTGTCTTCAGCTCTATGATTTGTCGTTACATTTCTGAGGAGCTGCACATAAGGCTACGGTGTAGGATAAAGCATCAAGCCTGCAGCTACACCAATTCAAAGCTATTCAACTTCAAGGCCTCCTTTTACAATATCTTCATATATAACAAACAACAACAACATAGGAGACACCATTTTGGTCTGGGTAACTAATGAGTACCAAAAATGTTTTACACTCACCAAATCTGTAACAATGACTTCAATCTGGCCCTGCACCATCTGCACGTCTTTGGTGGGACCCTCCAGGGTGATCTTATCCTCTCCCTCGGTGAACTCGATGTGCACCTGTGTGCAAAAGACACAAAAAAAAGTTACAAAGTGTAATTTAAAAAGGGGGATTTAAAGTGTTATGGTGAAGAAATTCATGATTTAACTAACCTTGGGCATTTGTTGAGTAATCTTGGCCAAGTTCTGCCCCTTCTTGCCAATAATGAAACGATGAAGCCAAGATGGAGCTGTGACCGAGGAAACAGTGTAGCTGTTTGCCTGCCAAAGGAAACATGCTCTTTAAGTAACGCCTCATTACATTTTATAAAAAGGTAACCATGGTTATAATAAAAGGGATTTTTATTTTTATTTGTAAAAATTCACACCTTGGCATAAACTTCAGTGAGGGCCTGACCCAGACGGTCTGGCTCCCCGCGAAGGATGACAGTTTCTGAGCTGCTGTCAGATGGTGGGATTTCAACTGAGACACCAGTTTTCTCCAGGATCTCCTGCAGGGTGTTTCCCTTGGGGCCAATCACATACTTGTGCTGAGACTTCTTCACCTCCACTGCGATGGTGGTGGCACTCTTCTTCTGAAACAGGCAGGGGGTGTTAATCAGGGACAACAAACCTTTAAGAATTAGCCTTAAGCTCAAACACAAACTTTCCTATTTAAAACTTGGAAGAATCCTACCTTCTCTTCAGCAATCTTCTTGATCAAAGCCACAGCAAGGGCCACCTGCTCCTTCTCCCCAGTGATGACAATCTCTGTCTTGTTCACACTCGGAGGGGGGACATTAATGCGGGCACCGGTCTCCGCCATCATCTCTCCTACAACTTTATTGAAGGGTCCGGTGATGAAGGGGTGATACACCTTGTCGATGTTTACCCTCTCCACAGCACGCTTGTCCTAAAAAAGTAGAACATTTGTAACTCATAGGGCAAACCTCAGTGAAACAGCCGCTTGTCCATCTGCTTGGGGAGCCAAACTACCTGCTCAGCAGAGATCAGCAGGATCTCATGCTTGGCCTTCTCCAGGCCCTCCTTGGTACCAGAGATCTTGATCTGGTTGCTGGGGTCGTCAGGTCGTGGGATCTGGATTTTGGTGGCGGTCTTTAGCTCCAGCTCCTGAAGCTTCTCCCCGTTCTTTCCGATGACAAAACGATGGTGCTCTTTGGGGATGGCAACAGTAGCTGAGGCCTTTAAGGGTCAAAATGTATAGTCAGAAATCTTTGCAGCTCATACCGTACATATTTCTAATCAGATCAAGATAAGAGAGTTCCTGACCTGAGTCTGCAGTCGGGACACAATCTCCTTACGGGCCTTCATCACAGCATCCAGCTTTCCAGACACCATGATGGAGAGACCCTGATCTTTAGCCAAGGAGAGTTCCAGATGGGCTCCGGTCTTGTGCATGATGTCCACGCAGACCTTCGCTTGATCTCCTTCCCCAAACTGGTTGATGTCCTTGTACTTGCGCTCCTCGAGTGGAACATGGAAAACCTATTTCATGTGGCCAAACAAAATAGAAAATTAATTATCAGTTGAGACCGCTGTAATAATACAGGCAGAAATTGTTCTGAGACAAGAATACAGCATGCAAACAAATTGTTGGGTTAGCCATTAAAACATATTAAAGGATAAGAAGGGAGATAAAACTAAGGTTTCACTGAGAGGCAAGCAGGTTGGAAGGTGGAGTCAGTATCTTTTTCCCTAAAAAAATGAAATCTAGACAAAGGTGATGTCACTCCATCATCCATCACTTATGGGCCTCTACACATGTGTGGTGGTGACTGTGTCTGCAGAGACCCTGTCCTGAGGTCCTCTGCCTGGATTTTCATGTTTTTTTTGGTAGACTCGGGACATTTCTGTTGGGGAGCTGGTGTGTTCACCCCCAGCCAATGATAGCGCGCAGGTGAGTAGATACTTGGCTTTTTTTCCTTCTTCGATCTTATAAAAAAGGGACATACTAAGCAAAGCATATTAAGGTCATAATTCATGTTCAACAGCCTCCTAACTCACTATCAATAAGCAGAAATAAGGAGGGTATTGAGGGCAAACTCTTAACTATAAATTATTGTCATGTAGAATAAGCACGTAATGACTAATAAGCAGCCAGTATGCTTCTAATTAGCATGAATTAATATTGCGACACTAATCTAATGTAGCAGAGTAGTGCATAAAAAAAATGATTTCTAGTACAACGTATGCCTCAGTTAAACTTATTTTTCTTGTGCCAGATTAAAATGGAGCAAGCCAACTTGAAACACCTGATCACAGATTCAGACTTAATATTACTCCAATATTGGAACCATGCATTTAGATTTGTTTTTAATAAATGATGAACCAAAAGTTTTCTTATGATGTCTATAAAGAATAGTATTTCATATATTTAATCAGACACAAGGGTTTAACACTTCTTTAATCTTTGTATTCACCAGATTGTACTTTGTGTGTTTCTTGTAGGTAAATGCCTGTGTGCACTTTTCGTATATCAGCTCAAATGATTTATATTCTTGGCTTGCATCTGCTAGCACTTCCCAGTTAAATCTTAGCATGTCTAGTTTGGTGACCTTGCATAATTCCCCATCACACCTCGGCCTTCCTCCAGTCTAAGCAGAGGTCTAATCAGCCAGATTAACTGGAAACACCTGTGTGGGGAGATGAGGCATTAGGCTCTAATCGCCAGCAAGGAGAAAACCACGTCAGACAGACAGACGTATCAATTCCTCCACCAACAGGGCTTCTATTTACTGTGGTGGAATACATTAGACACACTGCATTTCTTATACAGGGCAGTGAACATCTTATATTTCCTGCTACTACGGCCACTTATACACCTTCACATATCCGGTGAATCATCTGGACTGGGGACAAAGCTCTCACAGCTACAATAATAAAAATGCATTTTAAATACCATTAAAGAAAATTCATCTTCATCGAACTTATATGGTTGAATATTTTTTCTGGCCTACATGATTCACATAATGTTTTAACTAAGTATTACTTCATACATTCATTTTGTTTTTATAAGTTGGCAAATCAAAAATTCTCTCGCATGTCTGTATTGCATTGAAAGTTTTGGAATGAATTCAGACAAGTTTGATGAAATCTGCAAGCCCCAGCTCATTCTCTGAAAGTCTGCACAAAGCCTGCTAAGGCTCCATGTGGACTAGGTAAACACTGCTTTTGGACAGCCCTCAGCAATCGCAGAAAACGAGTTTGCAAAGTCAGCAAGTCTGTAAGACCAGTGGAGAGATCCAAATATCTGGATTGAGCCATATTGAACATGTTGAAATAAGTTATGTGGGAGGGTGAAAAGGGTGAAAGGTATACTGGGTAAAATTATGGTAACACCACCTGAAGAGGTGCATGTGAAAACACTCATCAAACAATATGTGGAAGTAACTTTGAAGATGTTCTACCTGGGTGATAACAGAAGACTTGAGTGGACGAATCTTTGTCCAGGCGTTAGCAGTTTCCTGGGTGCCCTCAGGTGAGGCCGCCTTCTCAGGCAGAGGTGGGAAGGCGTCCTTGTAGGTAGGAAGGGCATCCTCCTCCTCAACAGGAGCAGTGGCTACTGCCGCACCAGCAACAGCTATAAAAAATAAGAACAACAATTTGAGTCCAATTTGTGATGGCAATCTTACAAATCAAGCGAAGCCTTAAAAACCAAAAGTACTCACCACCACTCTGCTCTGGCATGAGCCCATTGCGGTGCTCATTGAAGCTTTCCTGCGTAAGTACAGCGACTGAGCTCATGGTCAAAATCCCACGTTAACAGAGTCCGAGAGTGCCACTGAAAATAAAGTTTATATCCGTTAAACAAAAAGAGTATACTTTATAAAAGCCCTAAAATATATTTCCTCAATCATCAGTGAAGGAATCCTAACAGTCATATTTCCTTCTGAAGGTGGAGCAGTTTAGATGTTTGAGAGGTTTCTACTTTTGCTTTTTTTTTTTCCTCGTCTTTCTTCATCTATATTTGAAAGGGCTGGGTGAGGAGGACATGATGTCACACACCTAAACAGAACAATAAGAATAAAGTTGTTTGTTTACTTCATGAGCACTGCCAATCACGTGATTAAACCAAGCCCAGAAACACCCGACAAAGCAGATCAGATGAATTTTAAAGTGGACTTGTTAGAACAACAACAAATGTTTTCTTATTCTGTTGTAAATGTGCAATATTTTAGGTAACTACTTAATGTTTGTTACCAAGTCAGTCAATGATATGCTGAGTACTTTTCAAAAAATTGATTCATGGGGTTATGAATGTATACTACCAAACTGATTAGGCAACTTCCCATGTGATAATCAATTAGTCATCATCAGTCCTATTTGTATTTTGTTAAATTAATTCTAGGGAAAACAGAGAAATACATTCAAGATTTGATTATTTATTATCATCACTATATATTTAATTTCTTCATGATAGCTAATAATAGATAAAGACAGCCATGTTTGAAAGGTAGAGTGTCACATGCTCAGGTATGCAAGGTTATCGTCGGTGGACTTTGAGGTTTTAACCATTATCTAATCTACCTTTATCAAAACAAACCATGTGCCTCAGAGGATAATCACACTTGTTGTCACTCTACCTTTGCAGCACTGTTTTTATATATGTGCCGAGATGATGAGCGGTGAGTAAAGAGATAATACTTTGCACCACAAAGAAAACACTGGTGTGGCCAGGGTGACAGCTAAAGGACATTTTGTCTTCCAGAAGAAACCAGTTTCACTTCTGTTCGACTGTCTTTAGCCAGTGTTTCTCTGTGAAGCGTTTCTAAGTGAGTGAACTCTGAGGTTAAGAGGATTTTTCCCCCGATGACCCCTCTGTATGTCCATGTTGGAGAGGATTAAAGCACCAACATGAACCTCAGATACCCTGTGTAGGATCTTTAAACCAGAATAACTCTGAGAAATAAACCACAGAGCCAATTCTCCTACCTATGCAGTTTATAAAAAGGAGAAAAAACAGACATTGTAATATCCGAGTTAAACAAATATTGTCAGTGAAACTTAATACAACATCAGGAGTCACTGCTCTGCTTTTCTGGCTGGCAGAGAAACCTAAATTCTGGCCAACAAGAGCAGAAGAATGTGAAGAGTTTTCGGGTGGATTTTGCCCCCAAGCATGCCTGAAATTCATCTGTAGGCCTGAAAAGCAAACCCAGAGAGATCTCACATAGAGCTGGCTGATACTACTTTCCCCTCATTCAAGGAACAATGGCAGGACATTCATGTAAAGTTTTTAAGATGGTGGTGGTCAGTTGCAGGCTGTTTCTCTCTCTCCTACACATTTTGGTGAACCCCTTCAGTGGCCTCTTCCTTGTCAGGCTTCATAAACTTAAGGCTGCCCTGGACTCATTACTGTTTGCAGATCCTGTTGCCAGTTTAAGTCAACTTAGACCCTTTATGTAAGACACTGGCATGATTTAGCATTTTTAACCCCCACCCAACCCCCAAAATAAGGATTTAAACAAGTTATGTGATGTGTTGTCAGAAGAGTTGTTCATTATGGTACTTAATGGATTTCATCTTTTGGAAATGTGGACAAAATTGAAACATCATCACTGAGGTGTTGGAGGTATGCAGTCCCCAAATTGTCACCCAAGCTGGGGGAACACGCCAAGGACACACATTACTTAACAGGTTACAGTATACTCATTTAAACTTCAGTTTCTTCCTTAATTAAAAAGTGAGTAAACTATAGTTTTTAAGTGTAATGACTAAGGATTTTCAATGTTTTTTTAAACAGGCTAGAATACATAAAAGGCTTGCTGCTTGGGCTAATATAAATATATTTACAAAGTGGGCGTAATGTTAAGTACTGGAAAATATATCCATGTGTCAACAAGTCTTAAGTTAAGGGGGACAGAGCCTTCTCCATAGCTGCCCCCTCCCCCTGGAACTCACTCCCTACACACATTCAACACTGCACCGACCCTCCTACTTTCAAATCACTTCTCAAAACTCACCTCTTTAAACAAGCTTTTAATGCATGATTGTGATGTATTTTCTGTTTTCTGTAGTTTTACCTTTATTGTTGTTTTCTTTATGATTTGTGTGTAATGTTGCAATGTCTGTCCTTACTGTGCTGTTCTGTTTTTGTGTCTTTGAGATTTTGAAAAGCACTTATAAATAAAATGTATTATTATTAAGTTAATGGAAGCCCTTTACTTAAATGGTCTCAATTTTAGACCATTTACAATGAATAACAATGTGTGATCGCTACACAAGACTGTGGGACAAAATAAATATTTTTAATGTCATGGCTTTTGTTCCGACAGATCTTACACCTTTTCTTCAGCATTAATGTTAACAAGCGAAGAACAAGGCGCAACTTGCGCTAAATGTTAAAACATTTTCACAAACAAAAGTGCAGAAGATTCTTCCTGCAAAATCATAATCATATTTCAGTTATACAAAGCCAATTTTCGAGCTGTGGTTTGTGTGCTGAACAAAACAGTATGCTGCTAATTACTTAAGACGGTATTAGTGTCACTGCTCACAATGCTAATAGTTGTCAGAACTTACCAGCTAAATGGTCAGTTACCAGTTAATCCGTCCTGTAAAGAAGCAAGTTCCCGTCAGCCTGCCAGCTTTTGCCTAGAGACCACAAAGAGAAGGGATCAGCTGAATCTTTAAAAAAAAAAAAAAAAAAAAAACATGGTTTAAGTTTCAAACAAAGATGGAGGCCAAGCTCAGAAAGGCTACTATAGGCTCAAGTCTGCACAAAGGAGACAACTGTTTTCTCAAAAATTAATATAATGAAATACTTTGTGTACGTAATACACAGTATACATAATAAATATCAGTAATGTCAAGTTCTATAGTAAGAGATCATTTGTTAATCTAAGACAACAAATACAGCGCCTAACTTGAACTAATGATTCAGCCGTAATTGAATATTTCTTGATAGTTCCAGTTTAGCGACACCAGGAGGAAAAACACTACGAGATGACCGTCATGGCAGACAACCGAAATTATCCAAAAATTAGGAAGTATTTAAATAAATACTAGGCAAAGAAGAGCATTACTGAAACCTAGTCAAGTATGAAGTGTCACTGGAGCTTGGTCTGCCTTGACAAACATCTGGTTTCTATAATTGGACCCTGCCTAGTTGTCAGACAGAAGGACAAAGCTGGCAATTGATGAAGCTGCTGCGAGTGAAGCAGGTAAACAGGCCATTGCTCCCTTATGCAAGAGCTGGCAGAAGTGAGTGCTCTGTGTTTAAAGGGTGTGATTATTAAAACATGTATGATAATACATGCAATAGTGTGTGTACCAAGAAAAATCTGGATCATTAAGTCCTTTCACATCATTATGTTCACTGTAAGTCTGAACGATAGAGGACAAAAGTGACACTACAATATCTTGTCTTTCTTCTAAAGCAAGTTATTTCAAACAAATGCAGTGTTTCTACATGCTTGAATATGGAAAATCAACATTGAATATAATTTTTTTTTAACTTTAAATCTATTTATCCAAGTCCATAACTATATGAGATATAACAATTATGCACAATACTAGTTTTCAATATTATGATAAGGATATAAAGGGTAATAAACTAATAAGTCTGTAATAGCATGTTTCTTGATAATCCAAATAAATTAAGCATTTTTTAACCACTACATTTGCAACAATTACTCTGAGGGCAGCTGGTACCTAGCTTGAGTTTCATCTGACTGCATAAAATAGTGTTAGAGTGTAAAATGTACACACATTGCTGAGTGACAAAGCAGTGTTTGCATAGAATATTTTTTCTTATTGCAATAAATTCAGACCTACTTGATGAGAAAGCTGATATTGCGATAACACTGTTTATCAGATTATTTGTCAGGGACAATACAAGTAGACATTGTTGCATCTAATTAAAGTGCATGTGGTGCAATGTATACAAGACTTCTAGCCGTATTTAATTTGCGGTCCTTTTCCCTGGTAAGGCTTTTGACACACACACGATACAACAACACTGTAAAATAGACATAAAAACTGACAGTAATGCAGACACAGACAGACAGCCACATGCATTAAAATTTAACAGTGAAGCAGACACAGTCAAGCAGATTAAAGGCAGTGAATACAAATTAGAATTAAGAACAATAACAGGAAATTACAAACTAAAGAGGTCAACCTTATTATTTGATATGTACTGTGCAGACCTACACAAGTTCGCAGCTCTTTCAGATGTTGCACAGAGTCAAATTAAGCTGTTTGGTAGAGGGTGTGTGATCAGACTAGGTCACTTTATGAATACATAATATGAATGTTCAGGGTGGTGGCTAAAAAGCTACTAATAGATAGATAGATACTTCAAATTCAAAGCATCCAGTAGCAGGTTACAAAGACGTACATGACATGTAACAAATGTTTCATATTAAACCGCAAAACCGACGCCCCCCCTCCCATACATATATATTAAAAAAGATTAAAGAATACCCCTAGATGAATCAAACTTAAACTGTGCAATTAAAAATAGACTTATACAAGAAATGTACATAACCCATGTAGGGATAAAAATATATGTGTGATTTAAAGCAAGAACCTATAAACAGTTGAGGGAAAACATCTGTAATTAGACCTGAATATAAAAAAATACAAAAAAGTGTTGACCTTCTGAAGTTGTGTTGTTTATATATGTACAGCAATGTTTAAAAAAGCAGATAGTGCAGAGTTATCAAAAAACAGACATTAAATAGCAGGCAGTGCAAACATTAAATTAAAGGTGCTATGTAAGTAATTGAGGTGATCAACTAGAGGCTGACTCTTGGGACAGCTGTGCAGATGGGAAGAGGAAAAAGGAAGATTTAGGCCAAATGCATTATTTAGTATAACAGTATTGGCACAGACACCTGAATGTGGTAACTACTGACAGGTAAGACTTTTCTACAAGCAGCAGGAGACATTTGACAGATTGTGTGTTTTGCACAAAGCACCACGTCATTGGTGCAGTTGTGTGTTTAACCTGGTGATCAACACCTCACAATCCTGTCAGAGAATAACAGTGGAAACCTCATTAAATTAGCGTCATATTATCTAATCAACGAGGTGGTGAATACTAATGGAGGCTGGTTAAAACCAACATTGAGGTTAGCAGCCGCATGAAAAAAGCCCAGATTAAAGGTTTAAATCTCTGGTTTAAGTGTGGGCGCTAGCTAAACACGATATCTAATTAACTAGCCGACACATCACAGTTAAGAGCTAGCTCTCCCGTCGTGCTGCCTAAAACCACTCAAATGTACCCAAGTCGAGACAAACCAACATTTAAAAAACAGGCAGTCACGTTTGAATACGTGGGATGTTTACTAACATCGATGTGCCGCTATGCAGAAAGTGCTGTGTTCATTAGTGACATCTCTAAATCACCGCGGAGCTAGTTAGCAAACTCGCTAAAAACTTTGACGACTGTGACACGTAGCTCTCCGGCTAACGTGTAGCTTTGGCTGTCTACTCACAACTTCAGCCTGTGTCTTACAGCCAGATCATTACAATAAGCTAGCAGTGGATTCAAGAAGTGAAGGCATGCATACATAAATACGGGTCGTGTTTATTTTTTTTATATATCAATCGAGCCAACGCTGACAGGGTCGTAAGAAAAGTAGAGCTGCAGCCGTAGCTAGCATGTTAGCATACAGTTTGTTCTCGTAGCTCGCTAAGTCCACGTAGGCATACAGCTGAGCAGGGGAGAAATGACACGGAGGCCAGAACATACTGTAACTTCACATTCAAGGCTCACAAGAAAAGCTGTCTCACCAACAAGTCACCACGCTGACACTTAAATGAAAGGCAGAGGTAATGTGAAAAGGCAGTGTAGCTTGTATTGAAGATAAAACAGAGAGGGACTTACTTATTTTTATGTACTCGTCTGCCCTGAAGGTGCAGAAGCTGAGATGAAATTCCACTGGCGAGAAGGTGGGATTGAAGCCTGACGGATATATACCAGAGCCGCCCACCAATCACATCCTCCAACGTCACGTCAGAGAGTCCGGTTACAAATAACTTCTTTGCATTTCCAACAGTGACACAGTCTTGTTTAACTTGGAAAATGTTGTGTGTGCAAACCATGTGTAAGACCTGATTCCTGTTTTATTCTCCACACAATTTTTGTTTTGTTTTTTGTTTGTTTTTTTCAAATCACCTGTAGAGACACTTTTGTCATGGTTTATTTATTATATTTAGCTTTCTTTACACAAATAAATAAAAACTAAAAACCAACAGACACAGATACCCCACAAAAAAACAGGACACAAAGCCGGATATGGCTGTGATAAATAGCCTACAGCAAAGCTTCAGCCTCAACATAGCAGAAAGCAAAGAGTGTATATTATATCTGCTTTTTTAAACATTGCTGTACATATATAAACAACACAACTTCAGAAGGGCAACACTTTTTAATTTTTTTATATTCAGGTCTAATTACAGATTTTTTCCCTCAACTGTTTATAGGTTCTTGTTTAAATTACACATTCATCTAGAGGCATTCTTTAAATCTTTTTTAATATATATGTATGGGGGGGGGCGGTTTTGCGGTTTAATATGAAACATTTGTTATATGTCATGTACTTCTTTGTAACCTGCTACTGGATGCTTTGAATTTCCCTCGGGATCAATAAAGTATCTATCTATCTATCTATCTATCTATTTACTTGTATTTCATTGTTTAGTTACTATTTATTGTTTTAAGAACAAACTAAAACTACACGTTTTGTACAACACTATTTATTTTTGTATAGGCACATGTGAGATTACCTTTATGATTTACAAAGTTCATCTTGGTCTACTTCGTTTTGTACTTTGCCTGTCATTGTGTTGTTATTATTTACTTTTAATAACGTAATTTGTGCGGATTTTAATTGCTTGTTTGTATGAGAGGACCCCATGAAGAGTAGTTGCTATGGTTGTGGGTTATGGGGATCCAAATATATAAATGTCACACCTGAATATCACCCAGCAGAGATTACAATTAAGAAGTGGAAGAATTAAGATGTCTAACGACTGGGCCCCAGAAACTGTGTGTAACAAGATGTATTGCCCTAACCAAGCTAGAAAAACAGGGAGCGCTGGTAGCCTTCCATTCCTTTACAATTGCTTTCTAACCACTAACATACCAAACTTGAGAGTCTGCTGCACAGTATGTGGTAGTTTTGGAGCAACCAAACAAGGCAATCAATGCTTCAGGTTCAATCTTTCAATTACACATTTAAGAGTACCAGCTAATGATATGCTAAAGGGACAATCTTTGGACACAATCAAAAAGCATGACCTATCATGCCCTTTGCTTTATTGCATCTGTGACACATTTCAGAAACATAAGGAAACATTTTGTGTATATTTTCTTTAGATTAGTATAATCTATGTGTAACTTTAAACTGAAATTAATAGTAACCTAGCATTATTTGAACCTTGTTGGATCCTTGCCACCCCCTCCTTTCGCACCACCTCAGGCTGCTCCACACCACGATCAGCCTCCTATTCATTATTTATCACAGTTTTCACATTTCATTTATTTTTCCAGTTTGAGATTTCAGTGGGATTAGATAAATGAGATGATCCCATGCAATACATGTTAATGTAAGACCCAGGCACAGGGGTTGTGAATGTGCATACCTATTGCACATTCACAACAATCCTGCATTTTTCTTCAAGAACAACAAGTTCAGTGAGGTAACCTTTTAAAGGTTTTGTCGTTGCTTGAAGTGAATGAGCACACGACAAAAGGTCAGGGATACCATAACACACAGCAAGTGGACTGCTAAAAACATGCATACAAATACTGTGAATAAGTAAACCTTACCATTGACCTGTAGACATGCTAGTGGGGGGTTATCGGAGCCCCTTCTGATCAGAAACTTTCCAGGAAATCTCTCCTGCCTTAATGCCAAGAACGGCAGGCTTTCCCAACCTTGCGGTCCTGAATCATGTGGGGTCACATGGAATTTGTATTTATTGATTAACCAAAAATATATTGTATATTAGAACATATTGAACATAGGCTACTGTAGCCAATGCCAAAAGAAGAAACTTGCAGAGTTTCTGTCTGTCTGTCTACATTGTGCAGAAATGTCATCCAGCCTTTCTTCCTCTGTCCACAATAATATCCATGAAAAAGCCTAAATGTGCTCTAAGATGAATGTTTACTAGCAACACAATCGAAAAACTACTACATGATTGAAAAAAAAAAAATTTTAACCAAAAAGCTGTATGTGTTTTGGATGTATGGGGTCAGCAGGGTTTTGTTCGGTCAAAGTGGGTTCCTGAGCCCAAAAAGGTTAAGACCCACTGTTCTATGGTGTTACCTTTAAACGGTGTTACATTTAAACTCCAAACACACACAGTGAGAATTGATAACATGAAGGTAACATCAACATCTCAAGATAGTTTGTAAAGGCATAGTTGAGTAATCTTTGACTGAAATCTGTCTGCCCACATATAAAAGCCAGTTCACTGAGTTTGGATAAAGCACTGATACCTTTTTCTCTTTTTTTTTTAATTATTTCATGGCTTAGTCTCACTTGCACTACACACATGTAATGAACCAGTCCAATCAGAAAATTCAATTTTTTTGTCCTTGGGTGGATATAAATCCTGAGATCATTGTCTAACAAATTGTAAATTTACCTGCATGGAGTGAAACAGTGGTTACACATCATAGGTATTGAGACAGTCATAAACCAACATTACTCAGGCTTGTGTAAATCTTCATAGTTCAGGTCAATATCATTGTCACAAAATAAATTTCATGATAATTATTTAACCCACTTTTCTTCAAGAACTAGGTGCATCTTATTCCCTGTTGAAAGATACTCAGTGAAACATCTTAAGTGGTTAAAGGCTAAAATATAAGTCTATAAAGAAATCTCAAGACCCTGAGAAATAAGTTGAGACACATCATTCAATATATTTCAATCTAATTTTGCCAATATCTTCATGGGTTGAGTGAACTAGCTGAGCCAGGACAGACTGCTTCATTGCAGCATTCTGAGACTATTTGTCTTAAATAAAGATCGACTTACTGTCACTGATGGTTGTCATAGATAATGTCAGAGAAGGATGTGAATGAAGCAAGGCATTACCATTCATTGTATTAAAACCTAAACTGTGTAGTGCCTGCTATAACTGCTGGACATGTTCATCTTGTATATACAGCAATTATACCTCATTCATATCTAAACACATATTTACACAATTTCTTAGAGTTTACATATATGTCCATTACAGTTAATTCTATAAACAGCGTACATTTTAAACACTACTCTGCACATAATTGCATTTTGCACCATTAGGTGGATGATAAACAAGTATTCGTCACATCTGTGCTCTGTTGAATAACAATCAAACTTGTATTGAATTGAATCAGATAAAATATATTTATTTCAAACAAATTAATAACTATCTTGTGTAGATCAGAGGCATTTCAAATAACAAAGGGTAATCTTTCAATGATATAGCCTAATGATTAAGATGAGCAGAAAAGCCCTGAGTTTTACATACTTCTACTCAACCATGATGTTCTCAGTTCTTCCCATTTATGGAAATTTGCCTGCTATACTGGAAAGCACCTCTGTTTTTTTTATTTTTTTAAAGCTGCTTCTTTTGTATTCCTGACAGCAGAGAAAGTAGGTGTTCAGTATCTGACTCATAGTGGATAGCAGGAGGTCGCCTAAAAAAGGTCTGGTTTTTAAAAACATTTTTTTCTGTGACAGCCAAAGGTTAAAGGGGGTTAATGGTGAAGTGAGGAGAACAAAATCAAAAAGCAGACTGAAAAATACTCTTAGGTAGAATTGATGTCAAGAGGCAAACGACTATTGTTAAGTGTTAATAATAATTTAGTGCATATAGTTGCACAACATTGTACAGCCTCAAAACAAAACATACTGATCCCTCATTTATTTAATTTGTATAAAAATTACAACACAAGAAAATTAAACTCTCCAAAGCAGGGGTTCATTCAAAGACTATTGAATGCAACACTGTGAGTTATATTTGTGATATAATGATGTCCACTCTTAAAATAATGACTGAAACAGCAGAGTAAACCAGAGTGGTTTAATTATATGTGAGTCCTGTGAAGAGGTCCAGACTTCTTTGAAGATAATGTGCACAGATCTAAACACAGAGCAGTTTATCAGTTCAGACTCCTGGCATCATTTCTCTGTTTGGGGACCATTATTATCTTTCTATGATTAAAGAATGAAAAATAATGAGAAAAACATGAAAAGAGCACTGCTTTCATGCTGATTTAATTACATTTCACAGTGCATTATTTTGACATTTTGTCCCATTATTAAAGAATTTCAGCAGTAATCCAATCATTTATACTTTTAATATTAGCCTATATAATACAGACAAGTCCAACACCACTCTGTATACTCAGATACTCTACTCTGCTATACTCTATACTCTATGAATTGATTTGATATTCCATAAGCCTATTCCAAAAAAACAAATTCAATGCATATACATGTTTTTCTCATTGAATATCATGTATTTCATGTACAGTATTTGGGCCACCTGAAACCTGGACAGGGCTGGCAACATGCTAATCACCAGGAAATGGTGCAGAGAAGATCCTACCATTCATGAAAAATGGCTTGGTAGTGTTGTTGATATATTTGGTATGTAAAGACAAACTATCTGAATTGGTTGAGAAATGGGACAAACTAGGCTGTTATAGACCCACTGTCTTAACTACTGACATTATCCCTTTATTTCAATGTTTTACATCAGTATCATTTTGACTTCTTCATCATTGTTATCTCTATAAAATTGTAAATGAGGTCACTCATTGGGGTCACTGGTTCAAGTCCCGTAGCGGATTAAAAAATGGAAATTGGTTTGCTAGCTGGAGAGGTGCCAGGTCTCTTCCAAAACACTGCCGAGCAAAGCACCGAACCACCAACAGCTCTGGTGCACTCAATGCGTAGCAGTGTGTAGCAGCCCCACTCTGACATTTCTCCACTAATGCAGGTCCATATAGGTTTTATATGTGTGTATTTCGGGCCTATTTGTGTGAGAAGCATTGCTATCAATAACAATAAAAGAGTGTAAACCTGAAATTCTCCTCAGGGATTAATCAAGTATGTAAAAAAAAGTAAAATGGCAGACATGGTTTAAAATTTTATAAGTATTTATCAGACATCTTCATAGGCTCTAACATCTTGTGACTATAATGGAAGTCTTTCAAAAAATAAACCAGTAGGGGGCGCTGCATTACAATGGCAGAAGTGACCTCTACTTGATAGTAACTCAATCCTCATATTTATGAACTATGGTTCAATCTAACTCTTAACATTTACGTGCTGCAAAACAATGGATCAATGTGCAACATGTAGCATTATAACCATGATCTGAGGCGTGAGAAAAGACGTAACGGGTTTGGTTTCATGGCACACTTATTCACTTCTATCCACAGTGTTCAGAGAAATTTGTTAGTAAAAGTAGTCTGCTTTAAAGGTTTACGGTGACAACCCGCACCGCTTTCATTTGCCTACATTTGTGGGTCAAACTTGAGTCCACACTTAAATGGAGGCTGTCTTTCTTTGTTATTAAAATCAAATTGAACAAATCAGATCTAACAATCATTTCCCCCCTAGTCTTGGCATCCCTCAGTAGGCCTATGTACGTAAAACACACGTGTCTTCTCCTCAAGACCATACGGGTTTTTTCTTTCCACTAGGCCTCCTCGTTAAACGTCCACAACGTGTAATTTTTCAGGCGGACAAGTTTACTCTCCATCCATCCTTCAGGGCTATTTAAAGTGAAGGAAGGTAAATCTTCACTTCTCAGCCTACAGAACTCATCGAGCACATTTGGACCAATAGCAGCGCACTGTGAACTGTTTTAGCCAATCACAGGCCGGTGTGAGTGCGCACTCCGTTGGACGACGACCATGGCACGGAGTAGAGTCCTCTTCGGTGTAACAAACTTTTAACGTGTCGTTACGGGGCAAAAGGTAAGTTTGAAGCTACTTCATGTGCAGGTTTTTAATTCTCTTTGAAGGCGTCTTTGTCGAAGAAATAACTCGCGTTGAAAGTTTTGCTGTATCGCTTCTCTTCACGTCGGTAAATAGTGTTCCTGTCCTGTCTAAAAATGAAAATAAACCTTCATATACGCAGTGAAATGAGTCTTTGAAGTTGCTCAAAGTTGTTCCGTTGTGTTTTCTCTAGTTTTGAAACGTCGTTAACGCAGACATTTATCTCCTCCTGACCCAGTTAGGCCAACACGCAACGTGACGTTACGCTATTAAATGCAAACCCCACAAGCCGTCGTTTCTTTTTACTTTCGGTAGTTTTTTTTTTCCCTCATGTGAACTTCAGTCTACGCTCTTATTGAATGCTACACAAATAGTCCAGGTGAATATTGTACAAATTGAAGGTGTTGCACTATTGTGAATGAGACTCACATGTCCTAAAACTGTTTGAGAAAGTCAGACTTGTAATAAAAAATACAAAAACTAGGTTAAACCATGCACCACATGCACTACTAACCAAGTGTCTTGACCGATTTAGTCACCCCAAACAATTTACGACTTAATCCAAAACTCTATTTTCTGAATGTTTTGCCTTTTCCCCAACATTATTAATGATTTCCTTTGCCCTCTCTGTCTTTGCAGGAGTGAGGTGGGGACGCTGCTGCCCTGAGCAGGAATGGGGGAGATTGAGGGTTCATACCGGGTTGTGCAGACCCCTGGCACAAGGCTTGGAGCCCAGTTCAACGCTGGTATCAGCACTTTGGAGCCGGGCCAGAGCCTCAGTGGCAATATGGTCAGAAGCCATGGGCGAGGACTCCAAATCCGTGTACAGGGGCTGGACGACTCCCAGGAGTTCTTTGATGTAGACGTAAGTTTCTCCTCCTGCACAATCTCTTGGAGCCTCTTTTATTTACACGGTGATATGTCTGCAGTTTGTTACACAGCACGCTACATCTTTCTCCATAACAGTCTGGGCTATCCTGTTTGCGTGTGGCCTGGGTTTGTGACATCTGCCACATGGCTTTGGTGCTGAAATCCCTTCCTTGTTAATGCTAATCATTTGGGCATCTTAGTCTAACACACCAGGACACTTTATAGCGTCTTGGCTGTGATTTCTGCTTTCTGTCTAAATGGTTCTAAAGGAAGCAGTAGTTTTATTTACTATCCTAAGCGTTGAGCAACAAGTTGGTAGATGTTATGACCATGCAATACTCAACTTTGAACATAAATTGAGTTATTTTCAAGTCTGTGTGTAAATTTGAAACAGAAATAGTTTTTTTTATTATCTGTTTTTTGTCAGTGTTCATGATGGAAGGAAATGCAAATGAACATTTGTATTGACTTGATTTTATGAGTTGGCTAAATGTAAGATGTTTTCAATGACCCCTCTGTGAAATTCATTTGACCTGGATTTTGAAACTCTTGAGCTACAGTTTGACTTGAGTTAAATATCTAAGAATGATTGAGAGAGAGAGAGAGAGCTGCTGTTTGTTGATTTAATTGTAATTACTTTACTGGGATGTTAATCCCGTTTGCAAACCGGCAGCTGGTTTGCACAAACTTTAGATCCATGTTGTTACAGTGCTTCCTGGTGTTTACTTGCCAAGTTGTGACTGTGGGAGTCACTGAGACGGCAAATAGGAAGCAATAAGGAAGTCTCCAGATCAGAGCAAGTTTCCTGTATTTTCTCTTCGAAGAGACATATCACAGTGTTCAGAAGGGGGCTTCTGACTGATAATGAGTGATCGAAGAAGAGGTATTATTTGTAAAATAATGCGTCTGTTCGAATAGGATTTAATTGGATGCAGCTATTGTGTCCTAAATCCTTGTGTAGCCACAACAACAACGATTCTGGCAGATGTAGTGGAGGGCCACTGCTGAGGCAGACATTTCATAATCTTATGCACCATATGTTGTCTCAAAGTCTTAACCTAATACAATGTGACATACTCAATTTTAATTTGTACAGAAGTTGGTCCATGTGCTGCTCAGAGGCATTGGCTTTTTTGGCGGTTTAAGAAGGATATACAGACCTTCATTTTGAGAGTCACTGAACTTGGTGTGTAGGATTCAAAGTAAGCCCTTAGATGTGGTGTTGATAGGAGGTGGCAGACAGAAATACATGGCTGCTACAAAAGGGGAATGACGGCAATCCTGTTGTCAAGCAGACTGAAGTTTGACAGGAACAAGATGGCCTCTGAGAGTCTCTGTTGTTCCCCGCTGCCCAACATGACTTAATATTGCTGTTCATTCATTCTTTCTGAGGAGTCGTGGGCTGTGGGGGAGAATAGTACTTATGTGTCTTGAGCCGCTGCAGAGCTACACATCTGTTACATGACGTATGTTAAATGTTTCACTTAAGGAGGAGCCAGTGTAAATTATCATTGTAAATATTGTGGCTATGTGACAATAAAAATGTAATTTATTGTTTGGTGTTACTGTGAGTATATTCACGTAGTGTTTTGCAAATTCAAAACTTTATAGACTGTTTAAAAACCATTTCACAGCTTCTTTGGGAGGCGTTCTCTTTTGTCTTCAGTTTAAATTATTTACAGTTGAACTCACGAAGCCCATGATTATTTGAAAGATAAATGAACGGAGCGGCATTACTTTTCCAACTTTATTTCATTTTTTCTCATGCTTGCTGTATGCTAAAATAGATACAAAATTGCAGCGTTGAGTGTTTTATATAGTTGCGGTATTCAAGCAAACCGCCTCCTCTCATTGTGGCATTTTGGTTGCTCAGCTGCTCAAATACCTTTTTGTATACAGACTGCAACATCTGCTGCCACTGACATGAACTTTGAATTTTGATCATTGAAATCAAAGTCATGATCAATGCTTCTTTCTTTTGTTGTTGCATTTGTCACAAGAGAAAGAGAACAGTTCGAAGACAACAGATTGAAGCTTACTGGTATATCCTGCTGCAGAACTTTTAGGGACCCTTCGACACTTGCTCCCTTGACTTCACTGTGAGACTCCATGGTCTTACAGTTACATCATTAAAAACTGAATGTACATGCACAAAATACTCCCGTTTAAGTCCCAAAAAGGCTATATTCCTGTCAGGCAGTTTTACATGACAAATCAAACTAATACTCAAGTTTACGTGAAACCTACACACTGTAATTAACCCAGTTTAGCCGACTGTTTGTAGTTGGGTTTGTTTGCCACATAGAGCTTAACTAGACAGCAAAGAGGCCGAAGTTGGCCACCTTTCTAAATTTGTGAGCAAACTGAGCGATGAAATAGCATAAATACACTCCTGTTGAAATCACAAGATATACAGTTGGACCTGTCTGCGTCATGCTTTTGCAGCAGATAACGCCTTACAGAGTTCATCTCATGATAATGGAGTAGATTATGCACGTATGGTGTGATTTAATACATGTATTTATAGTCATATAATTTTGTTAGCCTGGAACCTAAGCAGAAAATCAGATCAGAGTGTGTCTGTGCTGTGATCTGTGGCCTTCATCTGCTGCAGGTACTCAGCATGGTCATCATCCGCAGACATTTGCTTGCATGGCTCTCGTCCACAGGCCCCTCCCACAGCCAGCAAGGAGAAAGCTCAGCCTTGTGGTTTCTGGACAGGGAGGCAGGGCTGCCAGGGCAGGGGAAACACAGGCTCCTTTTATCCTGAACAGCCAGCCGGGCCCCTGCGCTGGCCTTAACTTCCAGTCTCTAAAAGTTGCACACACAAAAAGAAGTCTGAGGGTGGGATGTGGAACTTAGCAGTGTGAAAATGCATTACAGTCAGGGGCATTGGTGGGAGGGGAATCGGAGCAGGCTTTAGCCTTAGTGTTAGCAAACAAGCACATAAATAGCAAGGTTGACAACCAAGTGGGTTGGGGGGACGGAGGGGCAGCCTCTGGTGTTAAAAGAGCAGTTCAGAGGGAGCATACATGGCCAGTACAAAGTTTGAGCCAGGGAGGTGGGGGAGGGGACACACTCAGGAATGTCAACCACTGGCCCTTAGCAGAGAACACTTCTTGATTAGTGTCAGTTGTGAATGATGAAACTTGTAAAACTAAACAACTTTATCTTTTATCTCTGAAGTGTAAAAAGAAGCAATGATGTTTTTTATCTTTTGGTATAAAGTTTATTCCTCACAAATGTTTTGAGACTAAGTTAAGGTACACCAGTATGGTTTTGAATAATACAAAATCTTTGTGAAGTTTGCACATTTGTTTTCTATGCATGATCTAAAAAGCACTCTTGCTTTTCTTTACTACAACTACATTGCAAAAAGGGAACCTAAGACTACATATCTTTAATGAGGCAATATGCTTAGACTTATTGTTAAAAGATTTTTCAGGTTTGATGTACATGTATTTCAAGCTTTTTTTTCCTTCCCTAACTGAATAACAAGATGTATACTAATATTTAATAACCGCTTCTCTGTAACTTAATGCTCAAAACCAGAATGACCACAATCAAAAACCTTTCAATCATCAGTGATCGGTTCAAAACTGCTCTGTGGTTGTGAGAAGTTTTTTGTCCTTTTTATGCCCTTTCATATAAATCAGACCAAATGAAATTCACTGTGTTGGGCAGACAAAGACAATTTTCATACCCAGTTTAAAAATGTGAACCATATTGTTTATTGGTGTCCAAATTTTGGCTAAATGTATTTGCCAGAGACCCTTTAATGTCCAGCCTCAAGTACTTAACTTTTCAAGCACAACATGCTACTTTATTGTGTGAATCCATATCCTCATGTCAACAACTGCAATGGCATTGAGTGTCATTTTCCCAACAAACTGAGAAAACTAATCTTGTATTCCCTCTTTTGACAGTAGGTAGTTTTACTTCTAAAAACATTGTTTAGGTGGTTTTATGCAATATGTTTTTTAAAAATCCTTTTTTAATTTGGGAGCAGGGTTTTTTATAGAACCACAGAGCGCTCATCTCTACAAATCCCTCACACTATCCCACGGTGTGATGAAGTAGCTAAACAGTTTAATGACTGTGCTTAAAAGGACTCATTCAACATCTTAAACAATCTCTTGCTCTCTATATTTCAAATCTTTCCTTCTCTGGTATTTTTGCCGCTGGAAATAATTGTAGGCCACTATCTTTGATTATCAAGTAATTTTCCATGGTTTGAAGTGCAAATTTAGTGTCAAAAGTATCTGGGTTAAACAGGTGATCTGAGCAGAAGGAACTCACGAAAACACCTGATCCTGATTACCGCCATGTCGTGTTTATCTGCCAACAAACTCTCTGGCCAACTGTCCACAGACATACCCAGGTAGTGAAAAGGGATCACCACTGATCACTTGAAATGAAAGTTGTAAGCATATCGTTCAGAGAGGCTTCAAAGACCTGCTGATCTTTTGAAGAGCCTCCTCATGCACTTGTGAAAATGGCCTTAAAATGTTTGTCAGCAGGAAATCTCCTGGTTGCAACGCCTAAACAATGTGCATCCCACTGTGCCAAATACAAGCCCCAACACACCCCTGCTGTCGATGGGAGTTCCTAAAAGAGCTCACTGCCATTCACTGGAGGATAGGGAGTATCAACTGCTGTTTGGTGAGCCATGTTTAACCTGTCAAGCAAGGTACACCCAATCCCTGGATTTGAATTAGGGTGGGTGTTTGGGTTACCTATGTTTTGTATGTTTTCTTCTTGCTGTGTATGAGAAGGTCCTCCCTCTTATCTTACTGCTTTTTAAAACCCTGCCGTTGTACGCCACTCCCCCCTTCCCCTCGTCTTTTCACACACAGGGGAAGATTTGTCTCCCAGAGAAACATCTGTTTGTCGTAATCCCTGCTGCTTTGGGAGCATGATTGGGTGACCCACTGACCTGCCTTAATGTTAGAGCTCAGAGATGAGACTGTGGTCTACACCACAAGTTGGGTGTGAACACACTGCATGGGATCATCAAACTATCACAACACAGATGTGCTTCAACTGAGAATGCCAGTTGAGCTTTTAGGTATCTGACCCACTGATTTCATGACACTTTGTTTGCACGGCCGAGTGGATTTAAATAAATCAAGCTGGATTGAACTAAAACAAGAATGTTTTAGTTTGGTTTTCTTGCTGTAGTACAATAACTGTACGCACACTTTGTGGCCAGTAATTACATATTTAGTCATATATTGTCTGTATTATGATGTCTATGTTAAAAATATGCTGGTTATGAAATCAGAGAGATAAAGTCTTTAGTCACTGTACTTCCTGTGTATTCTCGTATCCCTTGTTTTTTGCTGGCTGTCTGGAAGCAAAGTGTCATCATCGCTCTCAGATTGTGGCTAATGAACTGAATGTCCCAGAGGAGGATTTTTCACTCACAGTTTAACATTCCTGCAGAGGGTTAATGAGTAACCCAGAGGAGGGGCTTCTGACAGCACAACACTGAGAAGTGTGTTTAGGACTTTCACACTGAGGGGAAAAAATGAGTTAACAGCGTGTTCTAATCTGCAGCCAGTTTTTTTTTTTTCTTGTCAAACATTTTCCCTTAGTTATAATTTTTCACTGCTCAGTTAAAGTTTGAGAAAACAATTAATTTAAGTTTCTTGTTTTAGACATTATTCTGCTCATCATACCCTTTTACAAAGGGAAAAATGTGGCAACAATAATTTTTCCTTAATGGATCAGTATTGGTATTTATCACAATTATATTTGACAAAACCGCAAGTCTTAAGGGTTCACTCACACTAGGCAATCCGTACCGTTCCCAAGCACGTTTGACCCCTGAAGTCCAGTTTGTTTGACTAGTGAGTGGTCTGTACTGTACACTTCAGATGGAAGAGGTGTGCTTCGGCATGGTACAGTTGCTCATGCACGGGTACACAATGTGAACATGAAGTATAATCGATCCCAGCCTACCATTATCAAGAAATTCTGGAGTTCTATGGATGTATCTTACCCAAATCACTCAAAATAAGCCACAAAGATGGTTAATGCAGTCATATTCTGTGTTGTTCTCCGATGTGTGGACAAGGACTCAACCATGTGTCTTTTTTTTTTCCCTCCGAGTCCGCCTGTTTTGTAAACTAAGCATGCTTCATGATCACATAAAGCCATGCATGTGTTGTATTACAACGTTATGTACAAAAGGTTTCCATGCTCAGCCAAGAAGCTGTGAGCTGAACTGTTGCTCCAGTGCTCATCGTTCACCAGGTTTTTAACCAGGAGCTGGGTGACCCAGAATTATTCATATCTTCTAAACAAACAAAACCTGTTCATGTAAACACAAAATAAACCAGTTTTTAGTCTAAAATCTGAATGTGGGGCATCGTGCTGGGCTGCAGCTAGCTTCTGCTCAACGTCTTCTTCATTATACATTTTACTGTTTGGCTTGCTTGCAAAAAGAAAATACAGACCTACTGGCTGTATCTTAATCCACATGCACTTTTTTTTTTTTTTTTTTTTTTTTACAAAAATGTTAAAGATTTGTAAAGATGTTTTTATCAATTGTCATGTTAAACATTTCAAATTGTGCTTTGCATCTTTATCCAAGACTAATGTTTGTCCAAAGTTACCCTGGCTTTCCCCTAAAACTACACTAGAATTGATATTAAAGCTAAAAGTGGAGACTATGTGAGAGGACTTAGTGGATATAGTAGCAGAAACTATGTCAAAGAGATATTCTTTATGGAAGTGTTGTCTTAATCCTCAGGGAAAATGTGGTCTTGCTCTAATAACTTTGTTTATAACACAGACGCTTTGGGCTCATTATATGAGCTCACTTTACATCAAACCCAGACTGAAAACCTCAAAGTGTCTCATACATTTGGATGCTAGTACATGATTTTGAATACTTACTGATGCCGTCTGGATCGTATGTTTGGCCTGCACTCAAACACAACCCAGACAAAGTATTTTAACACACCACTTTTTGTTCTCTTGTTGAGATCAGCTGAAATCAGACACTGTAACTGCTCGGAAAGAGAGGCATTTTACAACAGATTGCTACATTTATGGATGTTGTGTTTGTAGATTTTACCTGCATTTTTAATAGATTTTGTGAATGCCGAACATGTGATTGTATCAAAGCAATGAAAAGACTTGAATACAGTAAATCTGGTGCTCTGTGAGTTGTGATGCAAAGCAGTTCTTTTTATAAGGCTTTTAAAAATACTATTTTACATTACAACCAGATGTTTAAGGCTGTAATTTTCTCAAAAAGTCTCAGGCTGTGATTTCAAACCTCAGCTTCAGTGAGTTCTTAGTACATAGTAATTAGTTCTTCGTTCAATGAAAACAAACCCCAGAGCTTGAGAAGGTAAACTTCGGCACATTTCCTGCTTGTGATTTTGCTACTCTCTGGTTCAGGGCCAGATGACAGTAAATGTACAACAGTAGGACTAACTTTACAGTTGACTTGCACATCCAAGTTAAGGAAACTATTTGAATCGACAGAACATTTGCAGCCATGTAACACACAACGCAGTGGATCATTTACAGACGGTTTATTCTTTGCTCGGTTTAAACACAAACAGGCCTTCCTCTCCGCAGTAAGAGCTGTTTGTTTTTATTATGAGCTCACCTATATTGTTTTCCTAATTTCTCGTTCTATTTAGATTAAGAGATGTATCATCCCTGGATTTTAAAGACCTCTGTGTTGATGTAGTCATGAAGTAACGGCTCCTTTTTCTCTGTTGTTTTTTCTTTCAGTCCAAAGCTCTTGGACAGGACCTCCTCTCTGAGGTTTTCCTGCGAGGCAACCTCATGGAGAGTGATTACTTTGGCCTTGAGTTTCAGAACATGCAGATGAACTGGGTACGTACATCAGCAACCGGGTCATGTTTAGAACGGACACACATTCATTATCCAAAAACTGACATTCACATTGATTGTACGTCGGTAAAAGTACTGACCAAGCAGTGATACAAAGGTTAAATGTCAAAACTTGATGACTGGACGCAGGATACAAAATACGTCTTAGTCATTTCTAAAACTGATAAACATTTGTTTTTACTGGACTTGAGCAGCATAAGAACAAGGATTCATTTTACAACTTTTCTGGCACAAGCAGCCATACTCTAAATATCAGACTTTCCACTGTTGCATTCTTCCAAGTGGAATTCAAGACCACCTACAAGCCCTCTTTAAGGAAACAGACAAGATCTATGATACACACTTTACATCTTCTCCAAAGAGACTGGGGGAAAATGTGTGCCTTTATATATTCAACCTGAAAGAACAATGAATAGCCATGCTGCATATACCAACATCTGTTGCTCTGCAGTAAGAAGATTTTACACTGCAGCAGACGAGCACTTTGTTTAAAGTCCAGAGTCGCTGCAACTGAAACTTAAAGAGCTAAAAGCCTAGAGCCAGAAAGGTAATTGACAATTTGGGTCAGATTTCGAACAGTCTTGACTTTGGCAGCCCTCTTTTACCTTTGACGGACCCTTTTCAACACACAATACCAGTGGTATTCCCAGAAACAGGGAAGTGTTGTTGCAGTTTTAAGCGTTTGTTGTAAGCCTTTGAAAAGCGATGTGCAGATTATTGTTTTAGTCTTTGTGTTTAAAGTAAAAACTTGAATCTTCATTCTTCTAGGCAGCAACTTGTTAGTTTGATGACATTGTGTCACATTACATGCCTTTTTATAAAATGCTCTTTGCATAATCGTGTTTTAAGTAACACAAATTATAACACCTGCAGCATACTGTGATGTTTTAGGGGGGGAAAAGTGATGCTCCTTTTTAATCCAGGATCTTTTGACCTAATGCTAGAGTCAGTTTACAAAGTAAAATTAGCAATATTAATAATAGTGTGTTGTTCAGGCAACAAGAGCTTCATAAAAAGACAACAAGCGCTAATATTTACCTTACAATTTAAAAGTCATAAAAATGTACTTCTTCTTTCATGCAAATAGAAAACATGCTCATCATTGAAAACACTTGTTTCTACAGTTGATCATTTGTTTCATATATCAAAGGAAACAGAATAGAAATGCCAATATTTCCAACACTTAAACACTCGCACTGCTTTTTCAGCCTGTGGTCTGAGAAGCTGTTACATTACTTGTATACATGATGATCCATATAGTTCTGATGTTTTACTTGTAAAAGTGTTTCACCTTTATGAGCTTGTTTTGATTGTTTACAAACCAGAAGCACCAATATCCAAGTTATTATAGTTGTTCTATGGATGTCCCAACACAAACTTTGAACTAAGAGAATGATTCAGGCGTATATCGGCTGATCCCAATTTCTCAATTTATCTGTCTGGATCTAGCACATTCCTTCATCAATCAGGCCCAGATGTAATGGTGCAAATAGGCTGCAGCAGTGAGGGAGGGAGTGAAGTCAGTTTCTGCTCACAACATTGACTCCCCACAATCACTCAGACACAACATCACTTAAGGGGTCACTCGAGGTCAGATTTTGTAAATTGTTGTCATGATAAAGTTAAGATAATTCTTTGTGTTTCTCTTCAGGTTTGGCTGGAACCCACAAAATGGATTGTGAAACAAGTCAGAAGTAAGTCAGCTCCAATGTTCACTCATATTGCTGAACTCATGCAGTTTGTTTTTAGACAATGACGATCTGTTTTGTTCTTTTTCAGGACCAGCTAACACGCTGTTCAGGCTGTCGGTGAAATTCTTTCCTCCAGACCCCGGTCAGCTGCAGGAGGAGTTCACGAGGTCAGTGACTGTAATTTCCTACTGGATATTACTGTTATCTCATGCCCCTGTCTAGAGGCTTTTGCTTCTTAGAAGTTCATGATCATGGTCTTCAAACATCTTTCCTCCTGAATGTTTTTAAAAATGAAATTCTTGTCATGTTTAACTGCAGTCAGTAAGAACTTAAATCAATGCATTTGTTTATTTTCACTAAACAACAAAGTTGAGCAATAATAAAAGCTTAAATCACAAACATTTAGCAGGAGTTATTTATTTTAGGACTGTTGCGTGACATCTAACTTTAATACAGATACTTTTAATAATCCCCGATTAGATCACTTTGTTGTGCTCGCATGAACTTAAACGGATGGACACTCAGCATCTGTACTCCGTTATTTTGTTTTTCAGGTACTTGTTCTCACTGCAGATGAAAAGAGATTTGATGGAGGGCAGGTTGATCTGCACAGAAAATACAGGAGCCCTGCTGGCCTCTCATCTTGTCCAGTGTATGTTGAAGCTATCCTTTAACAAATGGTTTCTTTGTCCAGTGATTGAAATGTTTTTTTTTTTTTTTTTACAGCTATATGTAACATTGAACTCTGACACAATGTGATAAAAAAATCTATTAAAGGAAGTAAATTTCAATAAGGAATTTATTCAACCTTATCTTATACATCATATCCTCAAAAATACCGTCAACACCACAAATGTATAAAGTCAATGCTTGTTTAATTCATATAGCACAGTCAGTATCAGTGATGATTGATTGGCATTACTTCTGTAAAAGTCAATTAAATTTTGTTTGGAAAAAGCTACTGACTCTATCTTTTAAAATGATAAAGAAAGCTTTAGAAACCCGATAAACTGGTTCGTACTTGTAAGTGCATGTATAACATGGCAGCTTGTGAGTGAAAATGATCTTTATATTAACTTAACATGGTTAAGTGAATAAATTGTTGATGTACAAAGTAAAAGGGATGTTTTGCTTTTTACACAGCGGAGATTGGTGATTATGATGATGCTGCGGACAGGGACTTCCTGAGGATGAACAAACTGTTGCCTTACCAAGAAAAGGTGCAAGAGAGGATCATGGAGCTCCATCGCAGGCACTTGTAAGTTGCTCCATCTTACAACTTGTTTAGTGTTGACTTGTGTTTTTATTTCTAAGGACTACTACAAGACAAACGAGCAAATAGGACATATTACTTTTGACTTCTGCAAACATGTTAAGCCAGCTTACTTTGACTTGGATGCAGCTCATTTAAGGACAGGGACTGTTATAGTATGACCTCACATCCAGGTAGGGCTGTAATGTAGGTTAGTGTGATGATTCTCTGCTCTAAGTAAGGTGTCTCAAATACTGGTGCTTTCATGATGGCAAACCAGAGAAGAACCATGGACTATTAGTAAGACATTAAGGGGAGAGGACACTAGCTGTACTCAGGTTTTCTCTTCTTGGAGGATAACTAACTTTAACCAACTTTTAAAGGTTTTTTTTAAGATTTATCTTGCAGGTTTATAAAAGCTGAAAGTTTGGAGTGTGCTTTTAGCCAACTGCTAAGCAAGCTACAAACTAAGGCCTTACTACAATTTGCTGCTTCTAGCGTTTTAGAGCATCTCAATTTCATGTCCCACAAAGATAATCACAAGAATTACATTTTGGGGGATTTTTAAACAGTCAGGCCCACTGTCTGTGCCCCTTTTTTTTATGTGGCTTCAAACACAAATGTTTAGTGTTTTTTATGATGAGGTAACTTAGCTGAGACAACTTTGTGTTCCTGCTAAACAACCATAATGAGAGGGTTTGTCCCGAGTCTAACAAAACCACCCGCTGCACTTTTCCCACCACCAGCTTCCTTGTTAGCACAGTACTATCCTGTGGCCAATAGGGACTCTTTTCAACACTGAGTATTAGGCGGCTCTAAAGACCTTCGCTAATCTCTTCCCTTGGTTGCCAGTGTGCAGACACAAACGGAGAGTTCCCTGGCCTAATCCTTTGCTCTGGCCGGTCTATTAGCCATAAGGCCAGTGGGACAGGGGAGGGCCCTAAGGAGATTTCAGCGCTTAACGGATGAACAAAATTAGAATGTGGTGATGATTGGACGGATATGTCTTACTAACATACTGTTTGGTTGTAATCACATGGTTCTAGATAACGCCTCTCAAATCCTGGAAGTTATAAGGGATTTAAAGGCACATTACTCTGCAAACAAGTCCTGCTTCTCTGACTGGACTCGACAAGTCATGTTTGGTACTATTTCACATGGTGGACTAAAAGAACGATTGCAGAGTGGACACCAGGATCCTCAATATAATTTATGCTGCAAAACCCTGCCTAATTGTTTGTGCTGCATAATTGGTTCATGTTAGCAATGCATTTTGGGTATGATATTTATTCATGAATTAAAATAGCCACAATCACCTGATGGGGAAACTAAGGGCTTTTCATGTCAGCAAACATATTGTAACTCTGGTATCCATCCTCATCTACCTCAATTCATCCTCGTACCTTCTCTCCACCAAACACAAATCAAAACTCTCCTGCATAATTAATCAGGCTGGCAAAGGGTAAGCATTTCATCCATATCTCCTCTCGCTGAACTGTACAACCGCTCTGTGATCAGGAGAGCCACCCTGATCACAGAGGACCCCTCTCACCCCCTCCACCACTTCTTCCAGTTACTGCCATCAGGCAGATGCTACAAAGTTACACAAACCTGGAAAAACATGTACAAAAAATCCTTCATTCCCTCTGCAATAACTAGCGTGAACAATATAAAATAGACACTCAACAATATCCGTAGTCAGCTATTGTTTTTAACAGTCACATTTTAATGCCCATACTTTGTGTTTTAATGTAAGTTGTGCAAACTTATAGATTAATACAATACTCAATTGAAATGCTATTTGAGTGGTAAATAAATCTAGTAATATTGGCGATAAGACTAGCTGATACCGATAGTCACTGGATATGATAATATCGGCCAATATTATCATCTGGCTGATTAATCGGTCGAGCTCTAGATAAAAGGCACTATAAAAGTAACTTTAAACACAATTAACAATAAAACTACGTTCCGACTGTAGTTACAAGAGTACTTGTAGACATGTAACCACATTTTAAAAGCTATAGAAAAGTCAGATATAGTTATTTCTACACCTCATTATCCAAAGGCATAATATGAAAATTGAGCCTTTGACCTATATTAGTTTTATGTCTCAGCTGACTGTTTCTAGCTGAAGGACATGAGGCCAAACAGGAATGCGTGTTGTGCACTAACTGATAAAATCTGCACGAGTGTGGTCATTTAGTTGACGGGTGTTCTGCTAAATTAAGATGGGTAAATTCTTTGGTTTGTGCAACTGGACAAGAACCATCTAAGTTGTGAGTAAAAGAGGTTCAAGAATTGAGCCATGTGGAACTCCGCCATGCTGCCTTATTTATTTATTTTTTTTTTTAGACCTGTTCCAAACCAATAAAGGGCTGTGGCTTCATCTCAGTTTGTACTACTGCAACTCAGGTTTCAAAAGTGTCAGTTTTGGTGGAAGTGCTTTTCACCAAATCAAGTTTTTGGGGGATTTGTAATTTTGTAATTTAGCACTGAACATTTGTAATTGATGCAATGCTAGCAACATTTTGTTATGGCTACCTTCTTTTCTTTTTCTTTTAAATTTGATGTGAGCATTGGTTTCACTTTCACTTGACATGGATTTTTTTTAATTATTCTTTCCTTATATCATGAGCGTTACGAAAGAAAGCATTTGACAGATGAACAAACAACGGGGGCTAAATCACAAATAGCAACACAACTTGAGTTTACACTAGGAAATTAGTGTTGCTGCAGTTACACATTAATGATGACTATCAATCACTTAATTGGCCCACTGATATATTTTAAACATTTTTCACAGTGCAATTCCACCACACTGCTGTTAAGAAGCTCAGCCATCAGACGTTCATATCGATTCTGCAGTGTTATAATATTAGTGTCCCACTCTTTGAATTCACATTGCATTACGGTGTGAGCACGGCACAGTGGGAGTTCCACAAACACACGCGGTCAGACTTGCACACACAACGCGCTGCTCTCCCCTGCTGGCTACCCCGACGTTACGGGGGGGGGGGGGGAGATCACTTCCTGCCCCTATTACGCTGCCACGACATTCATATTGAAGGTGAAATGTCACAGGGGTGTAAATATCGCGCATTGAAACGGCAGTCTGAATAGGGCTTTTGTCTTGAGGTGTAAAAACAGCAGGCACTTTATTGTACATGAGGTGGCATATCTGCATGAACCTCCTTGGTCGGTTGGTAAATGCACAAACAAGAAAAGGCTGAAGGTACATTGGAGTTCCTTTCAACAGTATTTTCTGAGGTTAAGTGATCTCGCTATAGGTTTTTGATACCTGAGATTATATAGTCGGCTATGACAAAATCAGCCTCTTCAGTTGTTTTTTTTTTACTGTAAGGAAAACACCATGAGGACATGTTGTTACTCCCAAGTGTTGATCAAGGTTTTTTTTTGTTTACTTCAGGGGCCAGACTCCAGCTGAATCAGATTTCCAAATCCTGGAGATCGTTCGAAAACTGGACATGTACGGCGTCCGCTACCATCCAGCATCTGACAGGGAAGGCACCAAAATTAATCTGGCTGTATCTCACATGGGCCTTCAGGTTTTTCAGGTAACTGTTGCTCTTTAACCGGCTGTCATTTGAGGATGGGGGGCCCCTTAAGTCTCTGAAAATGTTGCTTACGGCTATTTCTTAAAACATTTATTTTTCTCCCAGGGCAACACAAAAATAAATACCTTCAATTGGTCCAAGATTCGCAAACTGAGCTTCAAGAGAAAACGGTTCCTGATCAAACTCCACCCAGAGGTTCATGTATGTATCAGCAAAGAGATTTCTTATTAAGAGAGTGCCTCTAGTGTTTTATTTAATGTCTTCAGTCTCGGATGCCATGGCCACTGTCAGGGTGCTGGTTTTGATTTTTCTCTGTTTTTTTCTTAGGGCCCCCACCAGGATACTCTTGAGTTTATGATGGGCAGTCGAGACCAGTGTAAAATCTTTTGGAAGATCTGTGTGGAATACCACTCATTTTTCCGTTTGTTTGACCAACCCCAACCAAAAACTAAAGCTATCCTCTTCACCAGAGGCTCCTCATTCAGATACAGGTAACAAATACAAACCAACAAAGGCATAAGTGGGGAAAATAAAACAAAAAACTGGTTGAATGATTCAAAACTCTTTGTTTCAGTGGAAGGACCCAGAAACAGCTTGTGGAGTATGTCAGGGAAAATGGAGCAAAGAGAACGCCATACCAGAGGTGTGTTTCCATATACAACATTTCTAACTGTTTTCAGAGGGAAAAGTTATTTCCTATTTATTCTTTGAGGAACATGACTTTCCTAAGGGTTAGGGGGTTAACCCTAACCCTAAAATAAGGTTAGGGGGTTAATCCTAACCCCTTTTTTCTACTGCATGCACGATAATAATCCTGCAATTGACTTGTTTGTTTTTCAGGAGGAACAGTAAAATAGGAATGTCGCTTCGCTCCCTCGCCTCAGATGTGCCAAAACAGGTCAGTGTTGCTATGAACACGATGCATTTACCCAACAAAATACACTAAAATATTCCACATATTGTTCTTTAAAGAACCATCAAAAATTCTCAACTTTAATAACTTTTTAATTGCCCCCCCCCCCCCATGTATTCCTGTTTTTGTTTCATTGTTTCAGAGCTTGTCATTCAATGACAGTCTCAGGACCCCAGGATCCCTTTCCTCTGCTTCTGTTTCCTTCTACCCGCACATCTCAAGCTTCCCCCAACGAACAGAACTACAACATCAGCCCCAGCCTTTGCCGTCACTGAACCAGTCTCCTGCACCTCCCCTGCAGACTCAGAACCTGAACCTGCAGCACCAGCCTCAGCACCACCAGCAGCTTCAGTCCCCTCTGCAAACCACCAGACCCCCCAGTCCTCCGAAGGAAGAAACTGTCAAGACTGCATCCCCATCTCACTTCGCTTTTCAAGGTGCCCCTAGCAATCAGGCAGCAGGACACTGCAGCCCCTTGTTTGTGTGTGTAGAGAGTGGCACCTCCCGATCTGAGCCCTCCAAAAATGGCAATGAGGATAATGAGCACGGTGGCAGGAGGGGAACCGGGTGCTCAGTGGGAGGAGGGGGTGCAGGGAAGAGGAAGGGGGTTTTTACACCTGAGGCTTTTGAGGCAGAGCTTTTACGTACAAAACAGAATCCCTTGTTCTCCATGTCCAGTTCACCGCTGCACGTCACAGAGGAGTTCATAGATGACGATCCCACTGAAATGTCTTTTTTCGGTGGCGGGGCAGAGGCCTTCACTTTTGGGCTTGATGATAAAGTCGATCAGTTTGATTATGTGGAGGAAACTGACCTCAGCAAAAACAGGATGTTTAGCGTAGGCATTGAGGACCTGAATGGGAATACAAATGCCTTCCCTGACAGCATAGTGGGTCATTCTGAGACCAGCTCCTTGCTTAACAACCGCTCTGAGTGCAGCTCCCTGGACAACCTGGGGCTCAGCTCTGCAGGTGAGTCCATGTCGATGGGTTATGGAGGTGCAGACTCCTCCTCACTCTGCCTTCCTGGCTCTGACATCCAGTCAGAAGGCAGCTCCATGGTCAACTTCCCGGCGTACTCTGTGCGCTCTGAGAGCAGCTCTGCTGTGCAGTTCACTGACCTGGTGGAGCAGCTCGAGCAGCTCAGCTACCCCCCCACAGCCACAGAGGGCTCAGGGAACGGCAGTTCAGACTCGGACTCCGACTGGGGCTCTGACAGCGTCCTTCCCCCTGAGCAGAACCTGTTTTACAGTAATCCACTGACGGGGAGCAGTGGCATAGAGGGTTTCCTGCTTCAGTGCCACAACCTGCAGGCTCTGGCACTTGCAGACCCCTCTGGATCCCCTCATATTAAAATGTAAACACATGGCCTTTAAAGCACTGAAAGCTTCAGTCTGGGGCTTTCCAAATTACAAAAATATTATAAGCTGCAGCAGTTAAGTTCAGTCTTGGAACACATTTCAGTCTCGACACTTTTGACATCCACAATGTTTGATCATAACGGAGATAATAGATGGCTGACCATATGAATTAGTAGAGCTGGTATATTTACAGCTGTCTGAAATGAGTGCATGGCACATCTCTTTAATGTACGATTGTGTACAAAGTTACACATGCTTCTGTTTTTAACTTTCTACTAAGGAGTAGAGAAAATGTTTGTGCAGCAGCACCGTCCTTTTTTTTTTTTTTTAAGCAGTGATTTGACTACCTGGTGTTACCCTACCATGGTCACTTTGTGGTGCTCCTTTTCTTATCACTCTTCTCTCATGAAGTTTTGCTTATCAAGTTTTGGCCTCAACTGTCATGAAAGTCTTGAATTACATTGTTTTTAGTCTTTTCAACATCAAGTTAACAGCATGTTGATCCTGCTTTATGGATGAATCTCTGTGACATATATTACATGTTTCACATCCTTTAAAACCCTAATGTACACATTAACATAGGAATATTGCTTTGATAGGCCTGCCGTTAAAAGTAACTTGACTCAGCATGTCTCAAAAGAAGTCAACTTCCATGCATGGCTTAACAGCTTTAAATAAATGAACAGATATAGCTTGTCAGAGTAAAGGTCTTATGATTTATCTTGCATGTGATTTTCTTATTTACGGAGTACTTAACGCATACTAACTACTAATCACCATCATCTGGCCTTTAATTCTTATTTCTAAAACGGTACTTATTATGCAGTGTAGAATTTACCACTAGATGGTAATCATTAATCTGTCTATAATCTCAGGGTAAAAATAAACAGAAAGTCGTCCAGGTTTAGTGATTCTCACAGGCTTCCTGTAATAAAAAAAAGGCATGCAGAAACAAACTGAGCCACTTTTCAGTTTGCACTTCTGTGCCTCACTGACATCTGCTGGCTGGATGCGACAGTTCTTCTTGTGATGCTAATCCACAGCATGTAGGTGGTATCAAGCACTTCCAATTCCTGATTTCTGAAGGATTAGAAACTTTAAATATTTTTCAGAAATAGACACAAACTAACATTTTAGCTTAAGCTGAAGAATGTCAACAGTGTACTAATGAGCCGTCAAGTACGCTGTTAACACCACTTTTAAAGAAATGAATGTATAATCCGAATCGTGTGCATGGCTTTGTGCTGTTGTGGCGAGCCTGTAACACCCAGTAAACCGTATTATATTGTTAAATGCAGAAGTACTTTCTAGATGTAGCACTTTTAGATCATAGAAGCTATTAATGTCACTTCCAGGACAGCCTGTCAGTTTAAGTCAGTGAGTATTTTATTGAACTGTCGGTACACGACTAGAGATTGATCTCGCTTTGTCTCTTTTTATCTGGCATGTAGCCCTTAGCAGGTTTTTTTTGTCTTTTTCTGTCTTTGTCATGGTACCAACAACATGATACCATGTTAATTGGAAGGAAGTAGGGGCTTTTTGCACAATTCTCTTTTATGTTAGCTGGATTTTTAAATGTTTGTTTTTTCATATTTGTGAAGGAACCATGTGTTCCTGTCTTGTGGTCAGTACCTTAAGTAATAGCACGTGCAAAGATTCGTAACATCTTTTTATCTGTACTCCAGGCCTCAGTTATTTCTATTGCTGATTCTGTCGTCAAGGACTCGGCTTGTGCCGTAGAACTCAAGTAGTTGTGTTGATATCAAAGTGAGTTGTATTTCATTACTTTGCTCTCACAGTCTTTATCTTGTTAGTTTGACTTTTCCTATGCTGACAGTCTCTGAGCAAGGCAAACATCTTGATTTTGCCCTTTTTTTGTTCTCAATTTAATCTGCCTGAAATTGGACTTCACCTGGCTTTTGCAAAGTGAGTCTTATATTATGCAGTCTTCCTTTTTGTCTTGCACCTCAGTGCCTTATAGCACTTACTTTCATTCTTTTCTAACAGTATGCATTTATATGAATCTCAGGTGTGGACCCCTGTTTAACTTTTAATAGTAATTGTTAAGATGTTATGGTGAAGAAAAGGGGCAGTCTTAATGAAGTTGTCCCCTTTAGTACCTAAGGAATCGCTTTTCATAAACTCATTAGCTCTCATTGTCATTTTAAAGGATAGCAAACACATCGAAGTCATTTTGCAATCTATCTAAAATCACATTTGTGGACGTTTGTTTCAGTTTAGCCTCTTAGCTTGGAAATGTAGTTCATCTGATCAAGGGTTTGTCTTTATGACTTTTCCTTATTTTTGCCTTATTCTTTGTGTTCTGACATTTGATTGTCCTCACATCTCTACTAAATAGTTAATTAATGACATGGCTGAAGATTAACCAGCTAAGCTTACTGCACTTAGACATCAAGTAATCGTCACTTAATCCTGCATATGTATACTTATTATTATTCTTAACCACCTGTACTTAATGTGTGTATGTTTTCCTCTCAAGAATAAAGTAATCACTTTGGGGTACCATGAATGTCAGACTTAAAATTCTTTTAGAGACTTTAAAAAGTTGAAATAGTCATTTGTTGATAAACTTTCAAGTGCTTTATCAGAATCTTACATTAGTTTGACAGGTACGTGCAGAAAGAGAGGATGTTTTAAGGGTTAAACTCAATATATTTAGATTAAATATGTCTATAAAATGTGATTCATATTCTCACAGTAATCTTCATGAGAAGCTGCAGATCCAAGGTGGGATCAATTTCCTTCACATGAAAGCTGCTTTCATTTGTAAAACAACAAACTAAAAATTGTGTAAACTCAATTTAATACCCACTGAAGGTTTTCTCATTTCTAGAGAATTTAATCATCATATTAGAGCAGAGTTTTCTTGACGATAACTAAAAAAAGAAGTCCATGATATACATGATTGTGTAATCATCCTGTATTTTTCCGTTTAAATTGAAGGCAACAAACTGTTGTGCTTTTGGGGGGTTGGGTCGAACTCGTACACGAGATTCCTCAACCCAATTCCAGCTGAGTGTGAGTGCTCCCTGTTTGCGGAGGCTTTGTGCCAAACCATTCCACAGAAAGCCCTCTGCTTCGTGCTGTGGAGCCCAACGTCTGCTCTCTCTCCCCTCTTCTCGTGTCATTCCCTGTGGGGCACACAGAGATAAACTATAAACAACCATTTTCCCTCCACACAGGCCACATTCCTGATAACTCTTTGCCTGAGCAATTATTTCCGGGTCGAGCTGTGACTTTTTTTTTTTTTTTTTTTTTCTCCTCCCTCTTGGCCTTCCCCCACTCCTTTTTTTTTTCTCTCTCTCTCTTTCTATTAGAAGTGGAAGAACAGCTGTGGTGACCTTACCCAGTAAAGAGGAGAGCGGACTGTTTCATCTGCTTGTTTTGTTGCACAGGCAGAACAAAAGCAGAAGAGCCAGTTCTCTGAATTGGAACAGTGCTCGTTTAAGTTGCCAAACAATCGTTTGTTCTTTTGGTTGAGGGCTCTGAAAACAAAAGCATGGGGGGAAATGTGGGAACCATTACTTTACTTGGTCCGCTCTGCCGTCTCTTCTTTCTTTTGTGGCCGCTTGTTTTTGTTGAAATGTGAAGCTCTTGCGTTGAGTTCTGCAGGTTGGGGGAGGATGAAGCATAGTGTTGAATATTTGACTGTATGACACACATTTAGTTATTGTTAAAATTGGATGTTTTAGAGAGCATTGTTGTTGATTCATACTTTCAAAAGATTGTGTTTTCCTGATTTAGTAGAGTTCTATTACCTGTTTCATGTAACCCCCCCCACTGTCTTAAGCTTGATTAATTTTATACGATCTTTATTTTCTCTCTCTCCACAGACACCGTCGACAGCCCTCAGCTCTCACCCTTAACCACCAAAGGACCCCTCTGCTTGTCGCCCTCCTTCCAGATGTCGACCCTCAGCCTGCCGGGTCACGCCTCGTCGCCCCTGCAAAGCCCCATCCTGAGTGAGGTGGGCAGCAATGCCAGGCTAGAGGAGGAGGATGAGGGCAGGAGGAAGGTACACTGCTCACCCTTCCAACCAGCCGCCTAACACCACAATTGTCAGAGTAGAAAAATTGCATAAACCTGAACCCATATCTATCTATCTTTGTGATTAATAATGGGATGGGATTTTAAGATGTTTCTCACTGACATGGAGGAAACATTTCTTTCAGTTAGAAATATATATATTTTTTTATGGTGGTTGTGTTGTTGTTCAGAGCAGAGAAACTTAATGTCCTTCTTGTCTCTCAGAGATATCCACCGATAAGGCCTACTTCATTGCCAAAGAGATTCTGACCACAGAGCGAACATACCTGAAAGATCTGGAGGTCATCACAGTGGTGAGTTTTTTCTTTTCCTCCAAACTGTTTTTGCTCAGAGTCCTTTATCTGCATTTTAAAAGGCGATTTCCAAATATTGTGATAGGTGTACAAGCTCATAGAGTGCGTGTGCTTTGTTGATTAAAATAGAGCTCTAAGAATCAACACTCAGTTTAAATCCCTCACTCATCCCTGTTTGCTGTATGCATGTGTTGGTTAGATGTCTTTCACCGTACACAGACTTTCACACTGATGTATTCTTTGCTACAAGTCTATCTATCTAGGTTTTCTTCCTTCATACCTTCTGACCTCTATCATATACCTTCTGTCCTCTATCAGTCAGAAGAGTACAGTGACTTATCATCTTTGATCCCAGGACCTTTTCTTACGGTCTGTTCCTAATGAAGTGGGGAAGAAGGCGTTTAAGGTTGCTGCTCCCTTTTAATTAGAACAAATTACAAAGAGTTGAGACTTGCCGAGCTGCTCTCAGGATGATTTTAAGAGGATGTTGAATGACTTGGAGGCGGACACAGCTGGCAGTAGATGTTCACCTTGATGTGTTTGTGGATGATCTTGACAAACTTTTGCTGTTGAATTTGTTGCTCTGAATTAACTCTGTTAATTGTGCTGCTGCATGTCTCACCAGGACACGCTTAAAAAACACATGTTTAATCTCAACGAGTTTCTTTCCTGTTATATAAATTTTGTTTGTATATATTTAAAGGAAAACAGTCAAAATAGTGAAATGGAAGTATTTAGTACACAGAAGTTTGAACAGAAAGGGAATAAAAAATGTTAATGCTGAATTTCTTTTTAAACTAAAATTCTATAAAACAAGACCTTTTTTGTGTTAACCCGGGGGCAAAAATGTTGACATTTGTTTCAGTCCCCTAATGAAGAAAAGTACAACAGGTTTATCCTTGAGATGACCACTCATGAAGCTAGCTTTTAATTTTGATCATGATAGGTGGATCATTTTATTTGCCCGACTGTAAACCAATTTGAAGTGTCCCGCTTCTGTTCCCAGTGGTTTCGCAGCGCTGTGATCAAAGAAAACGCCATGCCTGAAGGGCTGATGAACCTCCTTTTTTCCAACATCGACCCCATCTATGAGTTCCATCGAGGCTTCCTGAAGGAGTTAGACCAGAGGCTGGCTCTCTGGTAAGGTGCTCACTCACTATTTGTCTGGGTGATGAAGGTGAGTGAAAGCTGATAAGACGTTTCTAAAGACCAGTTCATATGTATCCTCAGGGAGGGGCGCTCAAACGCTCACGTCAAAGGGGACTACCAGAGGATCGGAGATGTGATGCTGAGGAACATGTGTGCTCTTAAGGTCAGCTTGCTTTGCCATCCCTCCAGTCAACCATACCTCTCTTACATTATTTCCTGACAAACAGACCGTCCCTTTAGCCACACTTTAAGTGTTCATTGTAATCCCCAGGAATTCACCAGCTACCTGCAGAAGCACGACGAGGTGTTAACAGAGCTGGAGAAAGCCACCAAGAGGCTGAAGAAGCTGGAGACGGTCTACAAAGAGTTTGAGCTGCAGAAAGTCTGCTACCTGCCACTCAACACATTCCTGCTCAAGCCCATCCAGCGCCTCATGCACTACAAGCTCATCCTGGAGAGGCTATGCAAGCATTACTCTCCCTCGCACCGGGATCACGATGACTGCAAGGGTGAGATCTCGATTGCTCATATTTTTTCATATTACTGATAAAAATCCTTCTTACTGGATTACTTGAACAAGATTTTATTGCAACAGTCAAGTTCAATAAAAAAGCCAAGCTTGAGTCAATGCAAGTAAACTAATTTTTCATCTTCTGTAACCCAGCTCGGCTTAAGTTGTACAGTATAACAGCTATCATACAAACATGCTGCCAAACTGTGTCAGGTTTCTAAAATTCACCCAACGCTGACAGAAAATGAGAACAAAAATAGGATATAATTTGAAAAGAACAAAAACAAAGGGTTAAAATTGATCAATTAAAGGTGAGGGAAGGCAACTTAATTTATATATCACATTTCATGCACAAAGGCAACTCATCAGCTGTACACAGGGAAGACTTGGTTTAACAAATATAATGCTAATTCAAGTACAAATCAAATCTGAGTGCATAAAGTCATACCTTAGGAGAAAAACATTTTTTTCTCTTTTTGAGACAAAGACTGGTAATATTTTATAGATGATAACTAGCTGTTCAGGATATTGCTCTGTTCTGCATATGAAGTTAATATCCAAGCCTATCAGCCACAATTACGGACTTGGTCTGTGGTCTTTAAAGCCCAGACTAGAGTCTGTAGGACTGCAGACTTAGGGGACATAGCCAGTCTTTGTAAATAAGGATTTGTTCTTAATGACCTGCCTGGTTAAAAAAAATAAAGGTGAAAAAATATGTGCCACATATATCTGAAGTTTAAAATCTAATTAAAGTAGCTGATAAAATATGATGTAAAGCACAGGTATTTCACAGTATGTCTGCAGCAATAAATTGACCAATTTAAATAATTCTCCCAGATTTCAACATCACACAAGGAAGAATTTTTAGTGAAATATGTTGGTTTAGGTTTAGCAGTTTTTTCTTTTACATGTTTTCTGTCATGAAGGCTTCTATGATCATCATTGATTTTCTCAACTATATTTCTAACCATCAACAATTAAGAAGAAATTGTTGGACATATATTGACTTAAGACATTACTCCCCCCTCAGAGGCTCTGAAGGAAGTGGCTGAGATCGCCACTCAGCTCCAGAGCAGTCTCATCCGGCTGGAGAACTTTCAGAAGCTAACAGAGCTGCAGAGAGACCTGATCGGTATCGAAAACCTGACAGCACCAGGCAGGGTGAGTGCAGTTACACTGAGCAGAGGGTAGGGGGAGCCGGGGGTCCAGGTCGAGCACATCCGACAATGTTTTTATGTTTTTTTTAGGAGTTCATAAGAGAGGGATGTCTGTACAAGCTTACCAAGAAAGGACTGCAGCAGAGAATGTTTTTCCTTGTAAGTACAATACTTTATTATTTTTTTTACAGAGAGTTGCATCACATTAACAATCCAGTGAGTTTTATAAATAACTTGTATGAATATTTTCAGTTCTCAGACATGCTCCTCTACACAAGCAAAGGTGTTACAGCCACCAATCAGTTCAAAGTACACGGCCAGCTGCCACTTCATGGCATGATCGTGAGTATTAAAGCTTTATGTCACCTCTTACATTTGCCTCCCATTAACCTCCTAATAAAGCCGTAAGTATGTGGTCAAAAGACTAGTTCCCCTTGTGGTGAGAGATGATCTGATCAGTGTGAGAAGGGAGGGCCTGGGTCTCCTAACTTTGGTGTCTCTGTTTTACTCCTGGCTGCAGCTCATAGTGCTGGACGCTCCGGTAAGTCCTCTGAGCTCTGCCAGCTTGGATGCCCAAACCCTTCCCTTCTTCTTGTCCTTTGCTTTTGTATAAATAGAACTGAGAAATACCCAAAGAGACACCTAGCGGGCAGAGTCCTTTTAGTCCTTGCATCTACTTGTGGTTGCGATGTCACTACCAGTAGTTTATTACGTCTTGATGTTCAAAGTACGAGCAGGACATTGTTATGTGATGAAGAGACTGTAGAGGGTTTGTAGAGTAGTGTAGAGGCACTGAGGTCTGAAGACTAAAAAGGATGTGAACCTATTTGCCTCCATACAGACACATGCTACAGGCTTTGTTCAGACTGATTTAAAAAAAAAAAAAAAAAAAAAAAAAACATTTTAGAAAGTCTGGACATCCGACAGTATGCAAGCCTTTTTAGCCTTGAAAGTGAAGCCAGTACTGAAGTACCTTAAACCTGCGTTCTTACTGTCAACAGGGGGCGACTCTACTGGTTGCAAAAAGAAGTCTAGAATAGTATTTTAATCTGAGGAAATGACTTCACAAAGATAGATAGCAAGGTACAGCAGTGTCTGATTAGAGGTAGTGCATTTTTAGATGAGTCTGTGAAAACTATAAGGTGTAGTTTTGCTCATAATAAACTTGAAAGTGTCAAACTAGAGGCTGTCTCTTTTTAAGGCGGCTGAACAACGCTACACAGATAACAGCAGCTCATGCAGATAGAGAAGTGATGTCAGGATCGAGAGATTAAGTGTGATCATTTGCAAACCGTAGTGTTCAACAGTTTGTTTTCAACACCTTATTTGAATAACAAATCTTACATGGCTGCAGTCTGAACACCGCCGCAGAGGCTCTGCAGCAGGTCCGTCTGTGACTTCAGTCAGACTTTCTGACTTAATTTCCTCCTACAGTCCTTCACTTAACTCATTTATTGAAACAAAATGTGTTTAGTTTGAAAGCTTCCCAACATGAATGTTCTCTGGGTTTCTCTTTTGTTCGTTAGGTGGAGGAAAGTGAAAACGAGTGGTCAGTCCCTCACTGCTTCACCATCTACTCTGCTCAGAGGACCATTGTTGTGGCTGCCAGGTGAGAAGGGGAAAGAAAGGGAAATATATTTATTGGACTATAAATTAATCTAGAGTTTGACTTGGAGTAATAACTGATTCTCTGTATATAAAAATCTTGGGTCAATGGTTATGCAGCTCCTTCTCCAAATAACATGTGCATCTGCCCTGGTTTTGAAAGTTAACACGTTTTTGTTTTTTTTAACGCAGTGTTGAAAGTAATATTCAGTCAGTAAAGGGAAGTTCAAATTGAGCTTTTTTTCTTCTTGCTTCAAAACATTAATAAAACTTTGAAGCTACTACTGGTCTTACCTGAGAGATAACGGCGTCCATGTAAACAAGAGAGATCTGAACGCCTGAATGAAGCCTCATATTCACTTGTTCTGAGCTTTGGAAGTTTTGCAGGATTTTTTAGTGCATGTAAGCTAAGAAACTGTCTTTAACGCACACATCATCTGATTCCTGTGTGATTTAACAAACTGTTATCCCGCCTTCTATTTGTTTGTTTCTATTTCAGCTCCAAAGTGGAGATGGGGAAGTGGATTGAGGATCTGAACCTTGCAATTGAAATGTCCAAGAAGTCTCAAGAGAAATCTAGCATCTTCCCCGACCCTGGACTTGGAGATCACTCCAACAGTAAGAGTTTGTTTCCCTGTGTCATGTTAAGATGTGCAGTACTCACTAATGGGAACTTGTACTTCATGTTCCTTGGACATTGTTTCCGCCGCTGTGTTAGAAAATGATTTTTTAATGAGCTTTTTCCTTCCTTGGAAAGTAGCACTTGGTCATACGTACAGTTAATTCCTTCCTCCAAACAACTTCCTGTCCCGCCTCTCCCCCTCCTCCTCCTCCTCCCCCCCCCCCTCAGGATCGTCTGACGAGGTTTCCCTGGAACAGGAGTCGGAGGATGACATGAACTCGTCCCGCACGTCACTGGACAAGCAGACACACCACCGTGCCAACACCACCATGCATGTGTGCTGGCACCGTAACACCAGCGTGTCTATGTCTGATCACAGCCTGGCTGTGGAGGTACTCCTCCTCCGCCCACATTAGGACACGCATACACTCACATTTACACAAGCACACACACTGGAGAAGAACATGTTTTTACCTGTTAAGGCCTTTTAGCACCATATTTGTACAGTCGGATCCGTTGTCGTTCCTGGATCTCGGTGTTTTTTCCCTCTCTTCCTAACCCCTCTTAGTGTTTCCTTTAACAACACTCTTTTCTCCCTGTTTAGCTTTAACATCACAAATGTTTACATCTGGTGTCGCCTGGATTGCTCTTTGTTCTTTAATGTACTTCATAACTAACTAAAATTAAAGTCTTCTTTTTTCCTGACACTAATGTTCTTCTTTCACAGACCAGGAGAACTTCCTAACTCCTCTTTCTTTCACCCTTTCTTCCACTTGAATCTAAAATACTAACACTTTCTTTGCATCCTTTCTTCCTTCCTTATGTCTCTTCACCCTCTCAGTCTTCGGCTCTCCGGCTGTCTCACCAGAACTTCCTCCTCGTTATCTCCTCGGTCAGGGCCAGAGACCAAACACCATCACACATGTTTGCTGGTACCGAAACCAGAACCTGTCTCTCACTGATTACCTGCACATGAACCAGGTACTAGAGCCACCATAGGCAGACATTCAGGACTAGGAGAGGTCTGGTTATGGATCTTTCCCCCTGAGGTCTTTGTAGAGAGCTTTACTGGGTTAAAGAAAATAATTTAATTTTGTTTTTAATCATGTCAGAAAAATTGGAAAAACAAACACTGAAGGTTCATTTATTGATGCATCATATGAAATCTGAAACCTCTCAGGGGATTCAAATCATAACATCCGTTCTTATCCACATTTGCCCGACCAAACAGAGACGGTACAATAGAATCAATGCTGAGAGATGGAGTAAAATATATTGCATCAAAAAGAAAAAAACACTGGGAAGACTAGATTTGAAACACTGTGTAACAATCCTAATTGTTACTTATTTCAGAGATCGCACAATGACAACCAACAATCAATTTATGAATCTTGGAACAAAAGCTGAAAAATTAGCATTAGCAAACATCTCCTTTCATTTCAATGTGTCTGAACTGAGTTGTTCTGGTCAGTATGTTTTTGAACTAATGAATTCAAAACAACACTTATTATTGACCTTGGATTTGGTTTGTATCGAGGCATCAAGGGGACAGAAAGAAGATCCAGGCCTGGCCTCTAATATATCAAACTATGCTAGTTGTTCAAATAAAGTGCACAAATTGTCTCTATGGTAAGTGCCACTAGGTCATAGCTATCTGTAAACTATAAAGCCTGTTTTTTATTTTCCTCTTTCTAGTCTAGAGCATGCTTTCAACCTTTCAACAGTCCTATTCTTTCCACATCTATACCACCATATCACACCCAAACATTCATTCATAAACACAGAGCCACTTATCACTATGTTTGATTCATTATGACCCCTCCTTTGCAATCACTTCATGTTCACTGTCTTACCTTTTCACATTACATTTTCTGTCCCTCTGTGAAGAACCAGCTGTCAGGTTACCTCCTGAGGAAGTTCAAGAACAGTAACGGCTGGCAGAAACTCTGGGTGGTTTTCACCAACTTCTGCTTGTTCTTCTACAAAACACATCAGGTCAGCTGACTCATCATTTCTTTTAGAGAACATGACATTTGAAAAAAGGCGACTGAGGTGAGTAGAGCTGGATTAAGAGTGAAGAGTTTCCTCCTCTGTTTCTAGGACGACTTCCCGCTGGCGAGCCTCCCTCTGCTCGGCTACACGGTCAGCACTCCTGAAGAGTCTGACAGCATCCACAAGGAGTACGTCTTCAAGCTGCAGTTCAAATCCCACGTTTACTTCTTCAGGGCTGAGAGCGAGTACACCTTTGAAAGGTAAACAACTTATTTCTCATTTGTAAAACGTTGTTGCAGATTTCACAAATCAGTGGAGGATAACAAGAACCATGTTTGTAAAATACAAAGTTTAGGATAAATCCAGTAGGCTGCTCCGGTCTGCAGTATAACATGGGCTGTAATGGCTGCAGGAAATCTTCAGCAGACTGTGCCTAATCAAATACACCTAAACATGCTTATGACTGACTATAAGCTCATAGTTTTTAGACATAGGGGTGGCTATATTATTATTAAAAAAGGATTAAGATGATTTTTTAAGTTAAGATGCTTTAAAAAAACAAAACAGAAACAACTTTAACTTCACTCTCTTCAAAGCCATCAGACTCATTGACAAAACCAGAACTTTTGCATTGCTCTTCGTTGGAGTTCTTGATCTCTGACTGCCTCAATCTGTTAGGTTGCTTTTACACTTCAGGCTTCAACAAATACTGTGTTGAATCTGAACAAACTACTAAAAAACACTAAGTTATGAAATAACAGAAACAATTCAACAGATCAATGCAGCGGTAGACCAACAACTTCCATGTCTGCAAGGTCAAATGATTGTTTTTGTTAATCGAATTTGGGTGCTTTTAAGAAAGTAGCAGCTGTTTCTCTAAGATAAAGCACTAAACGTTCATGAACAATCTTAACCTGTCGAATGAAATAATAAATCAACGACTTTTAGAGGACACATTGCAGACTTAACAGCCCATTCTTCAGCTGGTTATGTGGATATTATTGGTGCAAATCCAAAACCTTTTGTACCCATTAATCATTTAGAAGTTATGTTGATATAGGGCCTGTGTTTGGAGATACCAGTATTTATTTTTAAAGTCCTGTAAGAACAGTTTTAAGACTCTGTGGGCTGTCTTTGTCTTCACAGATGGATGGAGGTGATCAAGAGTGCAGCCAGCACTACGGGCCGCATGAGCCTGCTCATACCTAAAGGAGGTCCCATGGAGATAAACGGAAACTGAATCAAATATCATTGATACCGGAGGCTGGGCCTCTAGGATGGCAGAAAGACTTTCAAGTCTCATTGTAATTTTCAAAGTGATGATTTGTACCATGACTGATGAGAGACTGAAGTTTAAGTGTTAACATTGATTGCGTTAAGGATTTAATTCTTATGGTCTGTGCTTGTTCCTCATTAATGCTGTAAATGATAACGTTGTTCCTGTGTGCAGGATATTATGAAAGGAGACGTGTATATTTGGATCCGATGTTTGCATGCATATTGCTCAACATATAGCCTGATGAAAAATAATGATAAATGGGACCAACTCCAACACAAAGGCTTGATTTCAGGCTTTTGAAGAACTTCTATCTACAAAGCCTGATGACTGAAGCTGCAGGTCTAGCCCTGTGCTATGACTGGCATATAGAGGATTTAGAGCATGTGGAAAATGAAGGTACAGGATAGTTGGTACTTTTGAGACAGTCGGAGATGAATGCAGGATGGAGTTGAGCAGAAGGATCATGGAAAGTTGAACCGTGTTTACAGGTAAAATTTTGGAGGCATATGGCTAGTTCTGAGCAAATCATCATATGAAAGCGTTTATATTGTTAACAAATGGATGTTTAAATTGTTCAAAAGGGAGCCGTTCTGCTTAAATCTCCCCGTTAGTCAGGCATTATTACGGCCAGTTTGGTGCTACATTTCTCTCTTCTCTTAATATCAGATGTAACCAATGTATCCTCTTTTTATTTTTTGCGTAGGGATGACAGCTTGAGAGGACATGTGTAGTGTTTACTCTGTGTAAAAAGTTGCAGATTTTCCTCCTAAAAAAAACAAATCAGAAGAACATATTTTGATGTTCTGGTACTTGCTGTGCGTCAGAAAGTTCTAGACAAATGAGATTGTTTGAGACACCAGTGATGCTAATTTAGTGTGACATGCAACCATGGCATTATTTGGTACCGGTATATTTTTTTGTATTAAGACTGGAAGTGTGTGTGTGTGTGTGTGTGTGTGTGTGTGTGTGTGTGGTCTCCTAACCATCTGATATTCTGTGCGTGTGTAAGAGACTGACTGTTGTCTCTCCAGTTACTCCTATTTATTGTCCAGCATGTAGTCCTCATGTTATTCCAATGAAACCGTAACTAAATAAAGTTCCCTTCAAAAGCAGATTCTGTGATTTTTGTTCTGAATTTTCTTTAAATATCAGGTAGTAAAACAATTAACCTAATAGGAAGACATTATGTTGCGGTAGATCATTACAATATTGAATTCTCTCTCATGACTGAAATGTTGCTGGAATAAATCATCTTTAGTTTCCATCAGGTTTTGAAAGGAAGCTATTTTTATTCCTGTGTTTTTTCCTATAGAAAAACCTGCATTAATCCATAAAGAGAAAAAACTTCACTCAAAGTTAGCTGGAAAATTATACTTAAAGGCGACATATTGTGACAAATCCACTTGTACTATGTTTATGTACATATATTTGGGTAACCTGAGTGTCTCCTGACCCACACAATGTGAAATAAAACCATCCAGTTCTTACTTTGTGGTCTGTATAAGTCTTATAACACAGAGACAAATGATCTGTTTCAAATTGACTCTCCTTGTGACATCACAGTGGGATTCTGGTTAAAAAAAAAAAAAACCCTCCCCTGGTATCTCCTTCATGAATTCCATGAATGAGCAAAAATTTTGCGCAGGTCTGTCATTTTAATTCTCAGAGCGATGTCGACCAGGAAAACTCAGGGGGGGCTCTTTCCATTTAAAGAGACACACACACCTTCTACACCTCTTTGACAAATGTAGTCGGGTATAACAGTTGCCTCTGAGATGACATGAAATTGAGGTAATCATTTCAATAAACAGCATTAAAAGGTTTAGGCATTCTAGAGAAAGACTCGTCTCACTGAACATTTGCGTCATCAGATTGTCAATAACATTTGAAGACTCGGCCTGCTCGTCTGCAGTATTAACACTCTTCTGCGTATCTGTCAGGCAGTCGTAAACAAAGAAAGGCATTCCTCAGGCATGTCCGAACAGTGTGATCAGTGGGTGGGGTGTCTTCCCCAGAAGTGACAAAATTGCTCGTCTTGCCAAGGGAATCTTTTCAAACGGTTTTCTTTGAGGGAGTGGAGAAGGCGTGGAGCTGCTACCTGTCTGCCGTCACCATTTAAAGAGCAAAAGTTAGACAAGCACAAGGAAACATTTGTTCTTGTTTAATTATGTCTGTCTCCTTGTGCAGATCCAGGTTGTGCTCCTTTATGTAACACATTTGTTTCTCAATGTCTAACAAGTGTACCAACAGAAATGAGAAAGATTGCAGCTTTTTGTTTTGAATGCACTATTGTGGTTACACAGAACTAATATGTAACAGAAGGTACATAAGATAAAACAAATCTTCCTTATTTCAAATCCTCCATTAGAGGTAGGCAGACACTTTAAGACTGCATGCTCTTACTTTATTTCCTCTTATTTAAAAGTACAACACCCCTCATACCTCATCACAGACAAGTGACAGCTAGCCAGGTTTTGTCTGGATATGATCAAATCTGTCTGACAGCCACTAAAATATTCACTCATATATATATATATATATACAATTATTTTTTTACCAAGGCTGGCCTTTTACCCTCACTAACAGGCTTTATGCTAAGCTAAGCTAATCAGTTTATGGAATAATAACTTCATATTTAAAGAACAAACATTAGAATGGTTATGATATATTGTAATATATATATATATATATATATATATATATTGACATCCCAACTAATTTATCTCCTATCCCAAGAGTTGCAAAAGCACAAAAATGTAAACGAAATATTAAAAAAGTGTAATCTCGAGAAATGTATGACTGGTTATCATGGGAAAATGTGTTGACGCTAGTCCATTTAGGATTTGTATCTTTATTCTCTATTATGTGAACTCAATCTACTGGAAATATAACACCCAACGTGTCAATGTTTTTTCAAGTTTAAATAAGCAGAATGTCAAACTATTTTTTTGACCCTTTATTGACTATTTGGCCTGATGAATGTCATTGGATCTAAGGAACCAGTGACAACACTAATGGTTTAGTTGTGTACATTCTGTTTGAAAACAACAGTCTGAATTTAGACTGGTGCTTTATCATTCAGACACCTTTTAAAAACTCAAGGGTTTAAGAGTAGGCCTTTAGCTGAGGTACTACTGGGTCATGTCCTGATTGTGTGTGTGTGTGTGTGTGTGTGTGTGTGTGTGAGAATGTGATGCATGAGTTTAAAGGGGGCGGAGGGGAGGGGCGGGGCTTGTATTAGTCCTATATCCCCGCCTTTGGACTACACAGCAAGTGCCCTTAGAAGGAAAGCCTGTCAGACTATAAACTGGGGAGCTTTTTTTTACGACTGCGCCGCCAATCTCAAGTTCATAAAAGTCAGAGATCAGATCCACTTTTCTGCTCAGTGAAACAATGCGCCTGGTTAGGATGGCGCTTTAGTGATGGCGTATTAAGTCTATGCATTCACGGGTAAGTGCTTTTTAATTGCCCTTACCTTCATTATAATCGATAATGAAAGCAATAACAGTAACTTTATGGACTCCTACAGAACCTTTATGGTCCTGTCAAACTTTTCCCTGCGTAAAAGTTCCTGGTCTCCAGGTCGGGGGTTTATATAACCTGCAGCTCTATTAGACATTGCCAGCTTTATCCAGGCTATCAAAAGATGTCCACAAACTAATCCGCGAGTTTGTTATGCAGGATAACCTCCAGAGATCTTTATTATCTTCTGAAAGGGCAGGGAGGGGGCGTGCATACCGGAGAGAAGTGTCCGCTGTGAGAGGCGGTGGAGGCGGGGAGGAGAGCAGCGCAGTCCTCGGTGGATGACAGGGGGGCATGGAGATGTTGCGCCGCTCCTCTGTGTTTGCTGCTGAAGTTTTTGACCGCTCTCCCACCGACAAGGAGCTGGTGTCCCAGGCCAAAGCACTGTGCAGGGACTACATTCATTCCAGGCTGAACCGTGCCGGCATTGGCTGGTCTAAACCTGAACATGGACTGGCTGCATCAGGTGGAGTGCTGGGAGAGATATCGTCGGTACTGTTATGGCTGGGTAAGTTTAGGAAACCAAACAAACACTAAGCGGACCAACCTTATTGGCTACATTGATTATTGTTATACAGTTTTCCTGTGATATTCCTGCATATGGAATAACTATTGTATTTTTTTTTTATGTAGGCTAAACAAAAGTTTTCTTTGAATAATTTTATTCTAAAACAAAAATGTAAATTTGAAGTTGCCAAAACGTTTTATTTAAAGACAAACACAAATATTATCTAAGTTAATGCACTTAAACTTAATGTACCCTACAGTCGTTTTTAAAAATTGGCTTGATTGGCCACAATGCTGTTGCTTATAATACTGCTGACAATGGATCATTTTATTTTAAACAATTTAATTAAGTAATTTTGTTATGAAAGAGGCATTGTGGTACATATGCACATCCATAAAGGTGCAAAGTCATGCATTTCACAAGTGTCAAAGAAAATTTCTATTATTGCTCCAGGTTGAGAATTATTTTTATTTGCAGCAATATTGGCAGACAGTCAATCTTTATTTGTATAGGGCCAATTTATTACAAATGTTATCACAAGACACTTCACAAAAGAGCAGGTAAAATACCTTCTTTATATGTGTGAATTGAATTGTTAACAGTGTTAGTAAAAACAGTATACAAGAAAATACATCTTAAATCAAACATCGGAAAATACTAGACTTGTCATTTGTACAGAGTGAGGACCTTAATATTTCATGGTGATGGTACTGCTTGACATGGATCTCAGTATTCATAAATATGTGGGCTTATCTTTCATTTCCACTGAAATACCTTGAGGTGGTTCCAGGGATTCCCCCGCAATATCAAGGACACCGTTTCATTTAAATCATATTTCATTACCTGGATCACTGCCCAGAATGAAATAAAAACTAAGTAGACTTCAGAGTGTGAGGTCTCAATATTCCATTTGTGGTTATCACCCAAACTGCAGATAAGATAATCATGCAATTCACTGGAAACCCAGAACTAACAAAGAGTGTTTGTTAAAAAAAAAAAAGGTAAAGTTTGCTCAGGTAAAGTTGAAATGTTTGGCAATACTTTCCTGGCGAAAGTCTCAGAATGATTTCAAAACAGGGTGGAGACACCTCTGAAGAATCCAGAGCAGAGATTAGATCAGTTACACTTGGACTTTGTCTTTTGAAGTCTAAGCTACTAAATATGAAGTCATAGGTTACAACAACATCTACAGTTTAAATAAGAAATACAAAAAATAAGCAGCTGTTGACAGAAGCTGGTTAGCTTAGCTTAGCACAAACACTAAAAACAGGGGCCTGTCCACTGTTGACAAAATAGAAAAACATGTCTCAAACTCACTATTTTACACGTTATATCATCTTGTTAGTTTATCAATTTCAAACACTGTGTAAAGCAAGAGCCATGGTCCTTTTACTAATTGTAGGCGGGGGCAGTCCAGGTAAAAAGCAAAGACCTAGAAGTAATACCTAGAAGAGAGAGCTGTGTTAGCTGTTTCTACCTGCCGACAATCTTTATATTTAAGCCATGTGGCTGTTTGTTAGCTTAACAATACAAAGACACTGAAAAATGGAGGAAAAGCTGGCCTGACTCAATAAAACACTAAAGACAATACACACCTAAAGCGTACTCATTCACATTTTACTTACTGTTTGTTATCTGCTGTTACACCTTGCTTTCACTCACTATAAAAAGTTAAGCTAACAAGCTCTGGCCATATAGCTTAGCTTAGCAAAAAGACTTGAAACAGGGGGTAACATCAAGGAGGCCTGGTTACATTTCGGAGTGCAGTTCATTTTAACAATATGTACCTTGCCCCACTTACATAAAGTTGAGACCATCGCTTTACATCAGCCTGCAGACTGTCCAATAGGGGTTAAAGTTTATTTTTAATCAAAACAGACAGAAGTGAGTGAAATGGGACAATATGATCTTAGAGGAAGAGCCAGTTCACTTTATATCCAGAAATGGATGAAAACTTGTCAATAATCAGAACAGGGAAGTGAGGGAGTGTTCAGGATGTAAGACAAACCAAAGCATGTTGTCTGCATATAGTATAAGTTCATGACATCTGTCATCAATTAGTATGCCTAGAAATACAGGTTCTC